TTTGGTTAATTTTTAAGAGCAAAATGAATTGATCACGATCAATTTGAAATTTTTCAATTATCATTACTTTTTGATGTAATTTTTTAATATGACGGGATGGTTTTGGTGACTATTGTAGTAACGTCATATTGCGCTGCATTATATACTCTATACTAAATTTAAAAAACGTTAAAAACTAACGATACAGTCCGGGTTTTAATAAACATTAATAACGATAACAAATCTAAGGATATTAAAGAAAAAATCTGTAATACTCAAGTACTCAAATAGAAAACAAAAATTGTAAAAAATACCCTAATATAATACTTTGTATTACCTCCCTTGGTTGCCATAACTGCCTGTATATGTCCGTTCATACTGTCCTTAGCTTTGTTCGGGTTCTTGTTATTACCGATTCTGAACCATCCTAGAACTCTGCAGCGCATGCGCAAATTAAATAATGTCTTCATATTTCCTTCTGCGCATACGCATCACAGTTCTAGGACGGTTCAGAATTGGTAATAAGAGAAACCCGAAGTAAGCTATTGAGGCTGCATATATCATATTGCTTTACGTTTTCCAATTCTTTTTTAAGAACCAAGTGAAGTTCATTTAATAGCTTTGTTCGGGTTCTTGTTATTACTGATTCTGAACCGTCCTAGAACTCTGCAGCGCATGCGCAAATGAAATAATGTCTTCATATTTCCTTCAGCGCATATGCATCACAGTTCTAGGACGGTTCAAAATCGGTAATAAGAGAAACCCGAATTAAGCTAATGAAGCTGGTAACGCTTCGCGACCTTAACCCTTTTGCCAAGCATTTCCCAAACGTCGAACATGATGGGCAATTCATAGTAGTGTATAATTTACAATAATCACCAAAGCCGTCTTGTCATATTCAAAAATAACTTCAAAAAGAAATGATAATTGAAAAAAATTGGAAACTGTTGGTGGCAAGTTCATTTCGCTCTTAAAAATTAACCAAAATATGTATTGACATGATTCAAAAAAACAAAATGCTTAGGAGACATGGTTCTGACCGCAAAATTATAATTTAGGAAAATTGACACGCGAAATTATTGCACAGGGTGTTTTAAAGTAAGGGTAAAAAAACAACCCCTCTAGTAACCCTGTATAATATGCCAAATACTAAAATTTATAAAAAAACAGTACAAGAATTAAAGTTGAGACAGCTTGCTAAAAAATTCATAAAAATAGGGCTAAAAATAACAAAAATATAACACTTTAAATTTGACCAAAATTTTCTCCGTTGCGTTTTTTTGGCATCTGAGTGTATAAATAAGTAAACAGTTATTATTTACATCAACAAAACCCACCTCCTTAACAGCACTTAAGAGATGTAAAGGGCTATTACTTCCGTTTTTCCGTTCAAAACAGTCCAATAAAGTTGCCATGAGATTTTTACGGCTATTAAGCTATATATCTTGTACACTTTGCACTAAAAGAGATTCTAAAAAGAACAATGTTCGACTGCAAGATCTACTAGGAAACATTTTTAAGTATTAATACACTATTTATTTAAAAGAAAAACTCGTAATACAAAACTAAAGTGTCAAAACGAATGACAATGTTAGGAACATAGATTTAGGAAGAACAGATATCACATTGTGCATTTTAACCCGATCAAACAATCGGACGTTGACTACGTACTGTAAAAACCAACTGAAATAGAGACGGCGACATTGCCACATCTCAAAATTGCGCCTATCTACTTAGTTTGATTTGCAGAAAAGGTGACTTTAAAACCTTTACCGGATATCAATAAATCTCAATTTCTTAATTAAATTAATAGTTTATTTTTAAAGAAGCATGCGTAATATTATGTTATTAAAGGACATGTTTACTGTTTAATGTGCTGAAACGTCTAGAACTATTGGCAACGTCGCTGCTAGTCTTCCACAATGAAAATGAGCCGTCCGTCCCACTACCACTCGAGACGGCCTTTGGTCCGTTATAGCGTACTACCAGAGTACCTAAACCGACGAGCAGCGACAGTCCCGTTTTCAATTTTCTTTGCGGCTGCGCGAAATAAGTAGGTTATCTGTCATACGAAGAAGCGAAGTTGCCACTGTTGCCATTTATCAAATATCTCTATATACTTTATTTCAAGTATACCTCAGGCAACGAATCGTTTTTTTAATTATTTATTAGCAGTAAGATATTTTATACATTCAAATTTAGAAATAAGGATAAAACAAAACAAAAAAGATATGTATAAAACTTTATAATTAATTCCACTTCAAATTGTGAGCAGTGTATACCATGTTTATAAGACCACTTCATAAGTTGAGCAGTTAAATACGTAGTATATCTGTCAAACACGTCAAAAGAGAGAGAAAGAAAATTTGGTCCCACCACATCAAAAGAGCCGACGGTTTCTGTCGCTACTCGGCGATCTACGTACTCTGGTACTACGTTTAGCTTACGGTGTGTTTGAAGTCGGAATCAAGTCCGAAGTGAACTTTTCAGTGTTTTTCAGTAGCTTTTGTTTTTGTTTAACGTACTTTTGAATCTGCGAATTTTCAATATGATACGACAGTGTTAAGTGTGTGGAAAAATCAGCTCAAATTACCCGAATTTGTCTTTTCACAGGTAGGTACAAATTTCCGCCGCAATTGTACATAGGCGTCCCACAAGGGAGCCCCTTACAATTAAAATAATTTCTAATTATATTTGTTGAATTTTGATCTATTAAAACAAGAACGTAGTAGCCGGTAATTGAATTATAATTCGTCTCAATTACTACCTAACTGTTGTAGATCATAACAGATTTGAATATAAACGTTGCATTTGAAACTTTATTATAAGCCAGAAAGTGACATTTTTTTTCTTAAAATTGCGTCATATTTTGGTCATTATATACGATATTCTAATGGAATTTTGCTCAACAAATAAACAAAGGTGTTTACCCAACCTTTTTTGCATTTTACTGCTTTATTATATCTGCCCCTTCGGCCTTGTTTAGACAATTTTTTACCACATTACAAATACCTCTTCCTAGAGTTATTTGTACGGTGTGTTTACCTTTTTTTAGAATGGGACGAACTGTAAATAATTTTAGGCTACTAGTTTTATACATACCTATATATATATACAGAGTGACCCAGGCCTCCAAAAAAGCTTTTTACCTATTACGTTTTTGGTTTGTGAGTTTTATTTGAATTTTTTACATAAGATGGGGGCCATTGTAACGCACATTTTCAAAATATTTTTGTCAACATACAGGGTGATTCAAACCGCAATACATATGCTAACTAAAATTTGATTGTCTGATGAAGCTACCTTTAAAAGTAATGGGTTTGTAAATAAACGTAATATTCATTATTATGCGACAGAAATTCCATACTGTAGCACACAGATTTTATACTTTTAATGATAAATGCCTTCTATTGAGAGACTAAAAGGTAATTGCCTCGTATCAGAGCCATCATAATACAAGAAGACCGAAAGTCAAATATTGTCTTATATTTTCAAAAAAACATAATTTTCTCATTAAATATTGATTTTAGGTATAGGAAGTTATTAATAATACAAGATTAAACAACTATTACACAGTACTTCACAGGAAGCTATCGATTGTGAACTAACTAAATCGTTACTAATTACTAATTTTGAAAAGTTCTTTTTAAGATCAAAAAAGGTAAACCTAAAACATTTGAGATTAAAGGGGAAGTTCTAAATAATGTTGCCTATTCTAAACAAGAAAAAATTATTTATAAATTTTATAACATCTCTAATTAAATTTGGACGAAAAGAATATTTCTGTTTGCTGTAGGTAATTTTGTCAGGGAAAATACGTAAATAAAAAAGACTTTTTAAGTCAAAAAAAGTCAAAAGGACAAGTTATTCCAAAAAAGGACTGTCCTTTTCAAAAAAGGACAGGTGGTTTGGTTGCTACAACTTTCTTCTACAACTTCTACAACAAATCTACAACTTTAGTTTGAAAATATGTTCCGGCCACCTATGATTACAAAAATGTCTAAAATGTGCTTTACCATTGCCGCCATATTCTGACAAAAAAATTGAAAGAAAAGTCACCAACCACAAAACCTAATATAGAACTGTTTCAGAAACTTGAGTTGCCCTGTAAATATTCAAAAGTAACTGAAAGTTTATTAGAAGTAAGTGAAAGTTTAAATTGAAAATCGACGTTGGAGCGATTTTCGAAAACTACCTACTAACGTTTCAACATAAGTATATATGGGATATTAATTATATTATTATATTAGACCTTATAACAAAACTCAGCTGACGAAAAAGTGTTAATGTAGTATATTAATATGGAGTAAAAATTTTACTAATTACTTTACTAATTAAATTCCTTCCAAAAAACGATACGCCACTGCCATTGGAACAATCCATTAGGCCAATAGAACAATCCAAGGCCATTAGAACAATCCAAATGCGCCTAGTTGCCGGGGTCGGAAATTTTAGACTTCTCTGTCTCGTCTGTCCTTGTTTGACACATTGGAATGTTTGATACACTTCCAACGAGTATTTATGAATGAGATGTTCGGTCTATCTTTATAATGTCTTTGGTTAGGAAATAAATAAATAAATGCGGCAACTTGACATTTTTTACAGCAGTGCTGCCACCTGAACCCCGTCGCCGAATATTTCCATGGTTGGCAAATTAATTTAAAAATCGCGACCTCGATTACGTAACTAAAAGTTTAATTGATAACAAAATGGCTACCTCAAAACTACAAGTAGATAACTCGAAAATTGGCTGTTTGTAGTTAACTCTACCAACCATTGTTATTTTGGATTGTCTTTCTATTTCAAAACTAGATAAATTAAAAGTGACGCCCTTCACTTTATATCTGAAATGTCAAACGTAAATATTTTCCACATAAATTTAAAGGGTATTACAACAACTAAACAGCTCAAGTGGTCAAAACTATGATTTTAGAGATATCTAGTTGTAGTATTGAGGTAGCGAAATATAGTTGAATATTCACAGAAATATCGATTTTAAGAATATAAATTAGCTAAACATGTAGATTCTTGAATTATTTAATACTTAAACTTAATAATATAAATAACACAAACATTTTAAATATAGACAAACTTATCAATAATAACTGCAAATATTCCTTGAATATAAAAAAGAATTATCCTATAAATTATTAGGAAACATGTAACATCTATAAATTTTAGATAAACTTTAACATCACCAGAGTCTTTTAAATCACATCTATTTAACTTCTAAAATTTTGAAGAAAAACACCTTTTAGGCTTTAAACGTTCGAACCACGCGAACAACGTACTGTCTACATATTGGACATTCTGCTAGTTTCTTTCCACATTCGATGCAAGAAGTAATATGCCCACATTCTAATAAGACACAGTCTAAAGGAGCATCCATACATAGTTTACACAGCTCTTGAACTGGCACATCCTCAGGAAGATCTAAAAAGTATATTATCAAGAAACATCTACATGAAGTACATTCTAAGTAGGGCATTCAATCCCGAAAGAAATTTTCAATCCCGGGATTTCGGGATTATAATTTTTCGATCCTGGGATCCCGGGATTCACGAAAAAATTAATTACATTGAAATTATATTATATTTTCTTTCTTAACAAGATTTTATTGAACAAAAAAACATTAACATAAATTAAACGTCATCCCCATTACAAATCAACATAACATATAAGTTTATTTAAGAAAAAAAACATTAAAAGGAACTAAAATATACATTTTTTATTTAATTTACATAACCAAACGAACAAACTAATATACTAAGATACTAAAATAACAACTTATGAAGTAACAGAGATAAGGATCTAAACTTGTTTTTTGAAAAAAATTCTTAAAAAAACAAGCTGATCAAGAGTATTATCACTCAAGCTCGATCTGATTTTACTGCACAACATTCCAGCAATAGAAAAGGTCCTTTCTGATTCCACACTCGTTGGAGGAATAGTCATCAGCATGTCATAGGCAAACTGCAAGTGGAAACCTCGGTCAGCTCCATTTTCGAAGAATTCCATCTCCCGGAATATTATTTTAGGTAAATCGATGTTATCATATCTTATTACAGGTTTTTGAGGTTTTGTAGTTTTTTCTAAGGCCTCTTTTAATTTATCTTTAAGGGGTACATTTTTCTTTATCAATAAATTTGCAAGAGGAAGCTCATCGTCCCTTTCCTCGACATCTACAATTTCCACACTTGATGCGCCAGTGGAAGTAGGCTTTACATAATTTTTTATTAAATTGTAGATTTCTTGTTGGATTCTTTTTTTGCTCAGCGTTATAAATAATCCTTCCGTTTCATTTTCTGTAGGAGAGAAAAGGTAACTTAGGATCGATGATAGAACTGTTCTCCGTTGCTCGATTCTCGTTCTTAGTTGCTTTCCTAATTGAGAATGCCCAAAGGCGATTGGTTTTTCTCTATTTCAGACAGCATAAACTTCAAAACAATATCTGCTTTATATAAATTCATATCTCGTTGACATAGTGCCTCTACGGCTGTTTTTATGGGGTCCAATATTTGTACTATTTCTCTTTAAATTAAATTCTGCTTCAGTTAGGAGATCATCTGTCAAATTTAAATCGATCATTGCCTTTTTGATGCAGTTTTTCAATTGGAAAAAACGCTGCAACATTATGAACAAACTGCTCCATCTTGTTCTACAATATAAGAGAAGTTTTAGTTCTTTTCCATGTTCGGCCCGCACATAATTTTGGAGCATGTCGTTTTTTGTCGGTGACCTCCTGAAACATTTTACTAGTTTCCTTACCTTGGAAATCGTTGACTGTATCCCATAACTTTCAGTGATGTGAACTTCAGTCGCACCATTTTCTTCATAAATAATATCCAATCCCCCGTTGTCATCAGTGTCGTCATCTATATATGCTTCCTCTTCGCCTTCTGAGGATCCTAACTGAAAAGTAGCTTCACTGGACAAATCTGAGGTCTTCTTATATAAAACATCTGTTACGGCTAGCTGAATCCCGTGTGCCATACACAACTGCTGATGACATGTGATAAGTTTGCCAACTTTCGTCATTGTACTAGCCCCATCTGTAGTTATACAAACTATATCCTCAGATAGGGATAACTTGTGCTCCGAAATTCGTTTTTTGACCATTTCTACGCATGCTTCCGCCGTCATAGAGTTCTTGAATAGAATAAGGCCCAGGTTCCAAAAGTCTTGCTGGCTGTGGACATTAATGTTCATGAAGTGCTTGTTTGATGTGGAAGTCCACTCATCAAATGTAAGGGTAAATTTTTTACCTAACTGTTTCTGAACGATAATTTCTTGTGTTACTATAACTCGAACATTATTAATGTATTTTATAAATCTGCTGTTTATGGTAGCTGCCGAATTGGGTACCTTGAAACCCTTTGCTTCTAATAAGTCTCATAGGTCTGTCGAAGTTATAAATTTTGCAAATGGAATCCCATCCAGAGCTGTCATTCGTGCCAAAAGAGCTTCAAAGCTGGTATCGTTTTTAACTGCATAAAAGTCGGTAACTTTCGTCTGCTTTTCAACAACAACTATTGTATCAACAGCTTCCTTGTTCACTCGGATTGATTTGAAGTCAATTTTATGTATTTTCAGTAAATGCGTCAACAAACCTTTTGTGGAGCCACCTTTTGTTTTCAAAATAGCGGGGCATCTCTTGCACTTTGCAGTTTCACTTTCATCTGCTGCGTTCATGAAATAATGCCAAACAGAAGTTTCATCATTTGCTTTCTTGCTATTTGAAACATATTTACTGGTCGTTTCTGTTGAAGACATGGCAACGCATGGAAATAATCTAAAAGTATGAAAAAAGTATGGTAGCATTTGTTACATTTTGCAACGTTTGAGGACTTACCTAACGATCAACTGATATAACACACAAACAAACACAACAAAGGATTAACTTATATAATTATTAACTAAACAACAAACAAAAATATACGCCGCTTTTAAGCAATAAAATAATTATACACTTTCCGTAAGTATCTAGCTTTGTACTTTGAATAAGAAGACTAAGGAAGGAGCATATCAAAAATCTTAGGTGCACCGCGATGGGCCTCAAATATGACCTTTGAATAAGAAGACTAAGGAAGGAGCATAATGCTATCCATGTATTCATGCATGGTGGGTGGAAAAAGCTCTCTAGGGTGGGGATCCTTGACAGTTCTGTTTGACGATTCATTTGGCACATTTGAATTTGATTTGAAATTTTGTGGATTTGTCAGTCTTTACGGAGCTTATTTTATGTTATTTATTATTTATTCTACTACTGATAGTTGTATAAAGGTAGTAAATCTAGATGGAAATTGTGGCAGAACTTAAATTAACAGTGACACTATCGCGATTTATCGAAAAAGACTCGAAAATAGTTGGTTGTGTAGTGTGCGGTAGATCTCGGCAAAAATCGAGTGAAATAATGGAACAACTTTTCGCTAGTAAGTGACTATATAATATACATACGTGTAGTAAACCGATCATTTATAAAATTCACTTAAATTAACTAAATTATATATTTTCTTGCATTTTAAAAACTTTATTTACTACTTGTCAAAGATCAGATGTCAAAGAATTTTGATACGTTAATTTGACTTACCTGCTTCAGTAGCGTATCGGATGTTTGTGATAATAAATACTTATTATAACTTATCTATTTTTATTAGAATTATATATTTTTATAACAATTTTAATAACTACCAACATTTAATAACAACGTAAAATAAAATAACAAATTATTGAGTCTACCCCACGTCTACCCTACATCATAGTTTTACATTTTTTAAATAAAATTAGAACGGCACTGATAAACCGGAATTTAAGTCGGCCATATTTGAGGCCCATCGCGGTGTACCTAAGATTTTTGATATGCTCCTTCCTTAGTCTTCTTATTCAAAGAATATGACCAACTTAAATTCCGGTTTATCAGTGCCGTTCTAATTTTATTTAACAAATATAAAACTATGATGTAGGGTAGACGTGGGGTAGACTCAATATGTTGTTTTATTTGACGTTGTGAATAAATGTTGGTAGTTATTAAAATTGTTACAAAAATATATAATTCTAATAAAAATAGATAAGTTATAATAATTATTTATTAACACAAATATCCGATACGCTAAATCTGGTAAATCAAATTGGCGTATCTAAATTCTTTGGCATCTAATCTTTGACAAGTAGTAAATAAAAGCAAAAATGCAAAAAAAATATATAATTAGTTAATTTAAGTGAATTTCATAAATGATCGGTTTACTACACGTATGTATATTATATAGTCACTTACTAGCGAAAAGTTGTTCCATTATTTCACTCAATTTTTGCCGAGATCTACCGCACGCTACACAACCAACTATTTGAGATCTTTTTCGATAAATCGCGATAGTGTCACTGTTAATTTAAGTTCTGCCACAATTTCCATCTAGATTTACTACCTTTATACAACTATCAGTAGTAGAATAAATAATAAATAACATAAAATAAGCTCCGTAAAGACTGACAAATCCATAAAATTTCAAATCAAATTCAAATGTGTCAAATGAATCGTCAAATAGAACTGTCAAGGATCCCCACCAGTGCTTTTTCCGCCCACCATGCATGAATACATGGATAGCATTATGCCACTTCCTTAGTCTTCTTATTCAAAGGCTTTTTAAAGTGACTGCTTTTTGTGATTTACCGCGCTGTGGAATTTAGGGCCCTTGTGTGCTGCGTTGCCGCGACCCCGCGATGGAAAATATAAGGTACATTGTTGCCATACATTCAGGGTTGTTTATAAACGCATATTGTACTATCATGAAAGACTTGTGTACGATTTAAATTAAGGAAAAAATGTAATGATGAATCCCGAAAATCCCGGGATTAAATAAACAATCCCGGGATTTCGGGATTGAAAAAATGTCCGGGATCCCGGGAAACGGGATCCCGGGATTGAATGCCCTAATTCTAAGGAAAAAGCAAAAACGTTTTTGATTTTTACAAAAACATAATGTTTCAAAGTGAAGCAAAATGTTTTGTTTACAATCAAATATGTACGGCAAATACAGAACGAGTTGTAACTAAAGATGATTTATCAGCTGTAACCTTTTTACCTACAGGAAATCTTAGTAAATCTCACACTACTAAGATATAATATGATAAGATAAATTGAGATGAGTTGAGATGAATAAAAAGTAAAAAGAACAGTTCGGTTCGCGCTAGGAGCGATTTATAACCTCTTTCGTATTTCGCTTCACTTAAAATTTTCAACTAAGAGCTCGAACACATTGAGGGCCAGGTCGCACCGGCCAGGCCGCTGCTACCTCTATAACCATTAAATCAAATGATACAACGCACACTAACGACCTGGCCGTTGGCGGGTCGTTGCAACCAGTACACTGAAGTAATATATTATTATTTTCTGTCGCTTGTTGCCTGTTTTCTTCCAAATTAATAATTTTTCAGATGAAATCCCTCAAATTCAACGCAAAATATTTTATTTTCTATAAGATATAGTGTTTTAGTGTAGTTTTTGCACACGAGCAGAAAATCCAAAAAAATAGTATACAGACTGGATCAAAGGGAAACTTAAATCTAATCCCTTTTTTATCAAGAGTGGATTCTAGTAAAAATTCAAAACATTTTTATATGACATACTCTATAATTTATGGTTGGTATGATACGTGTTATTATCAAACCTTCGAGTTTCGATGTTAAAAAAATAAGAAAATTATATTTAAAGTTTTTCTACAACCACTTGTTCTTTTTTGATTAAATTAGTTTTTTTAGTTGTATTGTAGTCATGTACAATTTAAAAATATTTGTGTTAACTGTATTTTAAATATTATATTTAATTTAATGTTTTTCAAATAGGGCCGATTAGACTATATTTTTAGTAGGACTAACTCAATACTCTGTACTAACACAAATACCAAGAAACAAGAGTTAAAAAATTAAATATTTTTTTATGTATACAGGGTGGCGCACCTCATTCGCCTCGGTTGATTATACGAAAACGGAAAGATGTAGAAACAAAATATTTTATGGATATATGTAGGGAGGTAATGTTCACAATTTAAAATTATTTTGAAATATACAGGGTGTTTCAGAACTAAGATCCATACCAAAGTTATATTTTTTCTTATGGAACACCCGGTATTTTATTTCATTTTTTTTTTCAATATCTTTAAATATTTCAAAAACTAAAGATTTTAAACATATTTAACACTTATAATAAATGCCTTTTTTTGGGCACAAGAATCCAAAAATGAAATAAAATACCGGGTGTTCCATAAGAAAAAATATAACTTTGGTATGGATCTTAGTTCTGAAACACCCAGTATATTTCAAAATAATTTTAAATTGTGCACATTACCTCCCTACATATATCCATAAAATATTTTGTTTCTACATCTTTCCGTTTTCGTAAAATCAACCGAGGCGAATGAGGTGCGTCACCCTGTATAAATAAGTCATAAATAAATAATTTGTTTTCAATTCTTAGGAACAATACTATTTTTGTTCTTTATTGATATAATGTTTATATAACGTTTATTGATTATTTTTATATCTGATGCAACACTCTGTAACGGCCAGACGGGCCAAATTGCTTTAAAAATATTTTATTCGGTTTTGTCTCCGCATATCGTAGTTCTTTTGTGATTTTCGGTCGGTATGGCTTTGAAGAAACATTACTTTATTTAGAGAACATTAGAACAATTTAGAACATTTAATAAGCTCATGAATAGGTACTTCGTTTTTTAGTTAACTCGGATATTTTAACATTTGTGAAAAAAATATTTTCTAATTGGTAAAACGTAAAAAATAGTTAATCTGACAGCCCTGCCGAAACTGGTCGTTTATTTGGCCGCACATATGTACGCAATAGGTCCGGATGAGTTCGAGCTCAAGGGTGGCTGCAACGACGCGACGCACAGTGTTGCGCCCAATGGACAAAATGTAAAATAAAAACTTTGCTTTTAATAAACAAAATCCATTAAATTTTATCGAAGATAGTCGAAGGTACTAAAAATAAGCCGAATATTTCAAATTCCAATGCTAATAATAAGGAATCATTGCTTAGAACTGATAAGAAAAATAATTTGGTTTTGGTCAGTACATTAAGATTTGTGAGTACAGCAGATTAACTTTATTTTCTCTGCATTTATTAAATATTTAGTTAGAGTGTCTAACTATGAATTGTAGTTATACAGGTATGTATTTTATTCCGCCGGTTTTACGTAATTGCTGGTAAAAAATTTTAAAATTTTTTATTTGCATATTTTTAATTTTTGTTTTTTATTTAATGTCCTCGTATGTCCTCCACGAATTTTCGTAATATACTACCTCCATCAGTGTTCTTTGTTATGCAACTTTTTGTTTTTGCCCCAATCTGCCCCCTTGTTAGTTATTAAATTTTTTAGATGTCTTCTATGAGATACCCAAAAATATATTATTTGAAGAGTGGCTATTAAGTAGTTCAAAGGACAAAGAACACATGATTGTTTTGAAAATAAAAACATTTTTAAATCTACAGGAAGACATTAAAGACTTAAAACCATTCCGGGTCTAACGGTATAACAACTATAAATTATTGTTACTCAACTTTTCCAGAGTTTTTAAAAATGTCATAGGTGAAATTAACTTTTACATCCAAGTACAGAATACACTGAAGAAAAATTTTAACTGGATTTTAAAAGTATTTTTTTTAATTTCTGGAAAACTAAAAGTATCCAGATTTTCCTAAGTATCCAGAAGTTTATTGAAGGGGTAAAATCGATCCCTATTAAATTAAATCTTAACAAAAACAAATTCCCCCTGCTTTATTTCAATATTTTTCCAAAAAATCAGAAAAATACTCTATCCAGAAATTCAAGAACTCAATTTTAACCTCAAATTCGTGATCCCCGACCTCGAAAACCCCCAGATACCAAATTTCAGTCGAATTTCGAGAACATAATGCTTTTTGTCCCATTATCCCATATGATGGAAACACTGTGCGACGTCCCGTAATGCTGCTGTTAAAACATAACAGCTAGTTTTTATATATAAAACCAATCGTTATGTTTAAGAGATAAAAATAAAAATTATTTTTGTATAATATCGTGTTGTTGTTGAATCTTTGTGAGTAATTCTCGTTTTTTTGCATATTTCCCTAGTCTTTTTTAAAAAATGTACTTTTAAGCACAAACAGTTCTTTTAATAACAAAATGTTCGAGTTTTTGTAATGCATTTCTTGAAATTGTGTGTTGAAAATATGCCGAAGCATTGGAACAGTCGAAGCAAAGAGCTTTTTAGCTTCCTGATAAACTATTTTGAACGAGAACGTGACAATACAGGTCCTGTATTACCCTTAACCGCAGTCAGAGAAGTAAGTTTGATTGATAATAAGCACATAATAGCACTTTCAAAAATATTTCTACGTTAGTTTTTACTAAATTCTGTGATTATTAGTTTGTGCATTAATAGCATCCTCTTACTTGTTATTACTACTTATGGCGTTGTAAGATGTATATCAATAAATAAATAAATAATAACGCTTAGAATTTTAGTTTTTGCCAATTTGTAATAAGTAAAATAAGCTATAAAACAAAGTCACTTTTAAATTAAAATTCATCTCATAAATCCATCACAATCTGGCAGCGCTGTCGCCATCGCTTGTCACTTAAAATTGATCACGTGCATCGGAAATTGTTTTGCGATTACCATATAGCAGAATAGATACCGGCTGCGTCTCAAAAGTGGCTCACTCCTATAACATTTTTATTTTTTTCAGATAAAAAAACGAAATTTGCTTTATTAGTATATGACATAAATTATGATTAATTGACTTATTCAATAATTGTTTTCGGACACTTCTGGTTTCACCGGAAATTACTACAACTTTTGTTTTTTAAATGGTACTCTCGGTATTTTTTTACTCTATTCGATAGAAAACGACACTCTGAATAGAATGACACATCATGTCAAGTTTTGACATTTTCGATTTAAAAAAAATCGTATTTTAAATTTCAAGCTAGAGTGCACCGTGGTTATGTTAAAAAAAGAAAAATAGATTTCACCATCTAATGTTTTTAATGTCTTGTCCTGGCCGGTTAAAATATGTCCAAATCGTATTTTTAATCATATCTCAATTTTTTCAAATGGAACGAGGGTGGCTCATTAGCATATTTGGCAAAAGCATTTTTTTACGAATACATAATTTGGTACCACACACTTTTATTTCGAGACAAATTGTCATTATGAATCGCATGTTGCAATTTCAAATAAACCATATTCGAAAATGTCAAAAGTTGACATATAATATGTCATTATCGAGGGGTTTCTCACTATTGGAATTACGGAATTACATGTATATTTTCTTGGCAGTCGCTAGCAGTCATTGGTAGTTTTACGGCAGTCACCTATATAACATTATATTCAGAGTGTCATTTTCTATAGAATAAAGTAAAAAAATTCCGAAGGTGCCATTTAAAAATCAAAAGTTGTAGTCATTTCCGGCGAAACCGGAAATGACCAAAAGCACTTGAATACGTCAAGCAATCTTAATTTATGTCATATACTAACATACCAAATCTTATTTCATTTATCTGAAAAAATAAAGAAGTTATAGGGGTGAGCCAGTTTTGAGACGCAGCCGGTATATATTTTGACATTTTATATAAATATCATATTTTTTGTTGATATTTGCCAACCCTGATATTTGGATGAAAATACGTGTTTTTGTGTTTCTTGACATGATAAATTCAATTTCGATGTCAGTTTGACTCCTACTTGTATGGTAGGTTTAGCTATTTTGAAGAGTAATAACTTTTTGTCCGTATCTGTATTATTGGGCGAATCGGCTCCATAATAATGTATGGTTTTTGCAACTAAATAGTCGGTCGACTGAAAATTACATGTCAATGCGTACCCTAATTTTTTGACTAAAAAAACTCACAAGAGAAAGGAAGAAAAATGCATGCTTCATTTAGAAATATGTAATAATTACTTTTATTCAAATATGCGATAATTGTTTTGAGTAGGTAGTGTAGTTAAAAGTTTAAAATAAATCTTTACCTTTATGTTGATTATTATCTTCCCAGAGCATTTGAGCCTTTTCCAGCAATTCATATTTTTCAATACAACCTCTATAATCCACCCTATAAATTGTAAGTAATATTTTTAATTCCTTTGAAGATAATTGCTGCAAATCCTGTGAACTATCAAAATCCTCTAATTTGGGACGCCTTATTGGTAGCGGACTAGAACCAGGTGTTTGCTCCTGAAATAATAGGAGTTATCACTTATAAAATTTTCCAAGAAAAAAATAGCAAAGTATTACGTTTACTGGAGGTTCACTGGCTGTTGGCATATAAAACTCTTGTGAAGTTGTTGGTTCTTCAAATGGTGGAGCAGAGGGACCAGCTGCTGCCCCAAATTGCGGTGGTGATACATCTGGAATTCTTTGCGAACTTGTTTGGGATGGTCTTGGTGGCTGTGATGTTCTCGACTGCCTAGGAGTTGGCCGTTGTTCTGTTATAACAGCCTCCAAATTGTCTGTGAAAACCAAGATACAAAACTAAATTCAAACAACAGCAGTAAATTTTATAAATATAACTCTCAACTTTCATAAATACCTTGATTTGTTTTGCCAGATTTATAACAAGAAAAACAAAATAACCTATATAAGATAGACATCATTCATTGGTCATTTCACAATATAACTAATGTTGATTTTTTATTGTTCTGAATTATCTTATCTTCTGATAGATAGGTATATAAATAATTTGAAAATGTTTCAATAAAGGGTGATAAAATTGAGTTGTATTAATCATCTTTAGATAAGTATTTTCTAACCATAAAATATTTTCAAATCAATTTTAGTGTATATTGTAGATATACTGAATAGTAAAACATAACAACTTACTTAAGAACCCATTAATGGGTTTTAATGGATCTCCAAAATTTGCAGTTAATTTATCAACTCCTTTCCTTTGTTTTTCAGGTATATGTTTATTACAAAATAAATCAACCAATTCATTCTTTTCTAAAAAAGGTAAATATATAGTTACAAATAAAACAAAGTTTGTGAATTTTACTGACCTACTAATCCATATGTAGAAATATCATTTTTGTTAAGATAATCTCTAAGTTCTTTTACTTTCAATTCCATTAATTTCATTCTATCCGGAGGCCTTTTGATTAAAATTAAACATACCTCACAGTATAAAATTCTAGAATACAATAAAGACAATACATGCAATTGTACAATTATTATAAATTTGTTGGATATTTAGATATAAATTTTTCTGTACCTACCCATCTTTTCTTCTTAAACATTTATTGCAATATTTGGCTTCACATTCACCACATCTTATTTTCCAGTTAAATAATGTAAAATCGGACTTACATTTCGAACAGGGCATTTTTAAACAATTTGTGATAAGTAAATAATTCTAAATTAAATAAACATTCTCCTCTGTATTCTCAAATATTCTAAACCACAGTTCTAAACATGCATCAGTTTTGACCTTGAAATTTGCAGTAGTATTGTGGTAGTATGCAACCCAATAAACAAATCATCTACATCTACGCCAATCGCTAATCCAAGGCTTGGATATAAACAAACAACCTATTATATTCTGAGACTTGTTCTATGGTGTTCTAACTATTGGCTTCGTCCATTGGCTTCGTCGCTAATTTCAGATTTGTTTACATTTATTGACAGCTAAGCTGTATAAAAATAATTTGTTATTCCGGATTAGAAGAAATAGTAAATAATTTGGCTGCATATTTGTCTTATTTATATTCTAGTGCTGTATTTATCAATTTTTAATACATTGAAAAAATATAATTAATAAAATGGTTGATAAGGCGTTTATTGGAACGTGGGAGGTAAGACATTAGAAAACATATAAATACTTCTAGCAGTATTATTTATATGCTTATATCAGAGAAAAGAGACGATTGCATGAAATGGGATCCTTTAAATGCAAAAATGTTAAACCTCAGTTGCTGCAATCGTCCATCTGAACTGAACCTCAATAGGGCTAAACTCCCGACTTCATCCAGCTTATATGTTTTAAATTAACGCTTAACTGTTGACATGGAGTCTGAGATCCACACAATTACTTTTGCCACAATTGCTTCTGCTGCATGCTACTCAGTGTACTCTCCTGATTTTTACTATGTTTTAATCTACGCAAAAAGGTAGCAAGCACTGATTTTCCACTTTCGAAATATTGTCATTGTGGAGTGTGATAGACATTAGTGAAAGTTTTTAAACGTTGCCAAACAAGACTGTGCAATCAATGGGTCAATATTTTGATGGTGTATGTATGTAATGTAATGCATGTGTGTATTAATGTGTTTATGGTAATGGACAAGGGAGCATAGCAACCAGCTAACCGATAGTGAGCAAGAAATTGAATGAGAAAACTGAAGAAGCACTCATGGAGCAGTCGAAGACGGAAGGATAAAGCTTATAACATGAAAAGCTAGACATATCTATGTGCATCAGAATCGAGAAAAAAATTGTATGTACGTCTCATTTGTATAAAAACAATTTGCCTGACGTATTCAAAGAAATGTTATCAGAATTATTGTTTAATGATTCGAGAATATTAATTGAAATTATATATTTTCACCCAAGTGCACAAATGAGTTGTATATAATATATAGCAATGACAGAGTTTTGTTTTGTTTGACGTTGTTTTTGTTTTGTTATATTTTAAGAAAGTACAAAACGTTTTTTGTTTGTATTTATGAATTATTAAGGAATATATTAAATTTTGAGTTTGCTTGCTACAAAAAAAAATGTTTTTGTAACATTTCTCATATTGGGAGTTTCTATAAAATGTGAAATATATAATAATGCCTTGAAAAGTAAAAATGAATAGTAGTTTTACATAAAACTCAAAGAAGGCTAAGTTTGCTTTAAAAAATATTTTGTACAACGGAGTCTGTAGACTTCATGTCAGCATTAATTTTACAGAAGTTTTACTTACAGTTTTTTTACTTATTTTAGATTGTGAACTGCGTATTCAGTAATATTGAAAAACACTCTTTTAGCAATTTTACAGGAAATGATTTATTAGGGTAAGTATTTTTTTATACCTATTAGCTGTAGTAAGGGTGACTAATTATGTTATATGGAACAAAACATTTAGGATAAAATTTATATTGAGTAAAAACGGAGATGTATCATGGATAATACCAGATAAGTTTAAAAATATTCCATTATTTCAATGTGAGACTTACGAGTATCATACAAGAACAGGAATTGTTCCAAACCTACATATTTGTTTTGGGGCATATATTGGACAAATTTTTGAATTTAGAGTGAGTTCTTAAGCATTTAAATTCATATTATAGGTACTCTATAAAGATGAATATTTTTTAAGATTTATAATCTGAAGTCTAAAAAGAGAATTATATTATCAGGGTGTGGATTGCATGAAATTGATTGCCATTATGTTGAGCAAGCATCAGACTCTAGTGAGTTTGACATACCTTTTAGTCTACTACCTGCACTCGAGGAGGAATATTTTTCAGACCTTACTATTATGGCAAAGAATAAAAGACAAGTAGAATTTTCATGTTTAATACAGAATATTTTAATGTAATGATTGGTTTTTAGTTCAAAATACACAAGATAATAGTGTCGTTACAAGCACCAGATGTAAATTGGGCTACTGATCCTCCCCCTTTTTCTTTCCTCTCTGAAGATACATTGGGTACAATATTATATTTTCTGTATTCTGAATGCTTACCTGAGGATTTAACTGAGTCAACTGCTGAAGATGTAATAAAGATTCTGTCAGAGTATAAATGTTTGGAAAAGCTGACAGATGCTTGTAAAATATATTTAACTAGATTACAGGTTACAGATGGTATGCATTAGTAATAAGATGTTTAATATTTTTATTAGGGTTTTTACTTTTTAGAAATATTGGGCTTATTAAATGATATCCATTTAGGAATTTACAAAATTGCTGAATATATTAGCCCGTCAGCAGTAGAACATAAAGCAAAATCGGATAAATCAGATACAATTTTGGTAAATCCTGCAACACTCTTTAATGCTATTAAACATTGCTTTAGAGAAGGTTTTGTAGGTAAATCTTTTATATATATTTTTAATAAAAAAATTCATTATGTTTTTTGCAGTAATTGCAAAGTTTATACAATTTTGTGATATATTTACTGCTAGGAGAAACAATAAATCTAATGAAGAGCAAGATGAAATTCTATATATTTTTAAGTCTAAAGTTCCAATTTATAAACAAGAGATTAAGAAATGTTTAGAGGGTCTAAAAAGAAATTACCGATCAATGTCTCAAAGTCAAAAAATTGAACTCGCTACGTTTATTGTCCCTGAAGTATTTATAATTTTAATTCTTTAATTCACTAAAATATTATATCTTGTCTAACTTTAGATTGCATCTATATTATCAATGGGTATAGCATTGTTACAAGATATAGATATATTTCTTCAAAAAGTTATTGATGAACAGAAATCATCTATTGCAAAACCACAGTTAAAGGGCAACGATAATATAAATATTCAGTTACCAAAAAAATTTGGTTTAAATGAACTTAGTTGTCTTATTTGTGTTCAGGAGAATATTAAGATATTATTAGAGGCGTTGACATCAAAGAGGTAAAATTTACTTTTATGACATAAACATTTAAGAATAACATTTGTATTCTTTAGAGAGCAATATGCATTCATGACCCTACAGGAACAAACCCAGGTTATCAGTAGAATTTTAGATTATATTATTAAAGAAGAATTACCAGTTTTTTTAATAAGGCTTGATGAAATTGTTGATTTATTTGACGAAAAATTGGAATTACACGAATTTAAGTTTTTTTTCAAAGTCGAAACTAGTAGAGTTGTAAGATGTATTAAAATAATAATAGGAATTTTATTTAACATTTCTATTTTCCAGACATATGCATTGAGAAAATTATTGGAGTATAGAAATAGTATTCAGGGAGTCGTTACTTTACTTTGTGAGATTATACAACGAGATGGTCTTACTCAGACATTACAAAACTTGAAATTAATTCCCGAATCAATAAAGGAAAATGTTTTGGAACCTCACACAAATGAAGATAAAAGTACTACTTCTTGTCTACCGCAGAATCGCCAAGAGGTATAAAAATTAATTAGAGTAACATGTAAATTGGGCTGACTCCACACCATCGTAGGAAAAGCAGAAAGGCGGTGTAACGGCAGTAAAAATAGTACTTGTCTACACATCACATAAATTATAGGTCAAAGTTGTCAATTTTTATTCACTTAAATAAAAAAAAAACGTATAAAGCTTGATCATGGTACAAAGAATACAAGGTATGATATTGCGCAGGTTGGTCGCTACGTCACAGGTGATAACAGGCGCTATTGGTCAGCACGCTCCGCGCGCCAGTTCAAATCGTCAAGATATTGTTATAAACCTGTTTTTTTGTTTATATACCGTCATTGAATTATCGCTAAGCAAATTACTGTGGAGCAGTGCGTAAGGAGTCGGGCTAGGAAGCGAGAGACCGGAGTTCGAATCTCGGCCGGGACATAACTTTTTATTTATTTTTTTAAATACTGTTGTATTCTATAGTTTATTTTTGTAGTATAAAAAAAAGAACTATTTATTCTGTTATTTTTTAATCTCCGGTATTAATATAAATTGATTGTTGGTACAATACCTCATTTAATATAAAATAATATTCTACTTTTTGAAATGTATCGGGCCCTAATTGTACCTAAAAGTAATATATTTTTAATTATATACCATATTATAAACTATTTAATATTTCAGTCACTTAAAAAGTTAATTTGCATTGAATAATTGCCTACCATTAAAGGAAATTTGAGCTATATAATCCTTGATGGGCATATTTTGGGTATGCAAATACTTCCTCTAAATTTTGGGTTTCGTTCAACCGATTTATTCTCAAAACCTGAAACATCTACATATAAAAAGAAGCACAGGTAACTAATTATAATAAACTTCACCCTTGGAATTACTTCCACTAATTATAATAAACTTCACCCTTGGAATTACTTCTATCACAATTACAATACATTCATCTGCATTGGCATTTTCTACTTTTCGATGGGAAACAATAAAATTCCCAACATTTTTTAAATGATGTAACAATTCCTCTTATTTACTTTTCCATATATATCCTCATCTCTGTCCTCATGTGAAATCAGAGGCAATGAACATGAAAATTATTTACCATAAACATCGCAAACTAAAAACCTAATAAACAATTTTATAGGTACCGAATATAGAAATAAATTTAGTATTCTTACCTATTATGGTCCAAAGTCCAAATCCATGTTAATAGATAATTATTATTTTTATAAATATATTTTTTTGGAACTTCTGGTTTTAGTAATTATTAAATTAAACGAACTAAAAAGTCTTAAAATAAACAACTCTTAACCATAACCCCAAAAAATGCAGATCTCCTGTCAACTTTCTTTATTTTTTATTTATTCCTCATTTTCCTAGTGACGTCACAGGTGGTATGCGCGAACTGAACGAAATTGGAGCCGCTATCGATCATACCTTGTATTCTTTGTACCATGAAGCTTGATTTTCAAGCATCCGTTATCCGTTGATCACACTGGTACAAATTCGCTAATCCGCGATCGAAACTAATAGTTTCAAAACTAATCATTCAGTTCTGTTGTAATTTTGGTTTCTGGGATTTCAAACGCTATAAAATGTTTATGCCTTATCAATTTTACAATAACTTTTTGTTTTAAACTTACGGGGTGGGCCGAAAAATTAAAAAAAAGTTGTTTTTAATTATTATATTTTACGTTTTTTGGAATGTGTAGTTATTTACAGATTTACATAGGCGAATGCTATTATAAAGGAAATTCAAAACTAACAAGTTTGAATTAAAAATTATACAAGATGAAATAGAATTATACAGGGTATGTAGAAAAAGTTATTTTAAACAGTTCGCAACAATAAACCTTTCCTATTTTTGAAATAATTTGGACATCTTGAACCTTTTATAACCTTGAGAAAAAATAAATAAATTGGAATGAAGTGGGGTGAAACTAACAAATATATAAATACCGGGTGCGTCTCAAAAGTCACCCCTTAACTTTTTTTATTTTTTCAGATAAAAAACGAGATTTGGTATGTTAGTATATGACATAAATTAGGATTGGTTGGTTTATTCAATTGTTTTTGGTCACTTCCTGTTTCACCGGAAATGACTACAACTTTTGATTTTTAAATGGCACCCTTGGTATTTTTTTTACTTTATTCGATAGAAAATGACATTCTGAATAAAATGATATATGATATGTCAACTTTTGACATTCTCGCTTAATAAAAAATTGTATTTTAAAATTCAATCTAGAGTGCCATTGCTATGTTAAAAACACCAATTCTTCATCAAGGAGCCTTAGAAAAATAGATTTGATCGTCTAATGTTTTTAGTGTCTTGTCCTGGCCAGTTAGAAAATGCTCAAATCGTATTTTTAATCATATCTCAATTTTTTCAAATGGAACGAGGTACGTGGTTTCACACACTTGGTATTTCAAGTCAAATTTTCGTTACGAACCGCAAGTTATAATTTCAAATAAACCATATCAGAAAATGTCAAAAGTTGATATATGATACCTATGTTATTCTATTCAGAGTGACATTTTTTATTGAATAAATTAAAAAAATACCGAGGGTGCCATTTAAAAATCAAAAGTTATAGTCATTTCCGGTGAAACCGGAAGTGACCGAAAACAATTGAATACGTCAATCAATCCTAATTTATGTCATATACTAACATACCAAATCTCTTTTTTTTAACTAAAAAAATAATAAATTTAGAGGGGTGAGCCACTTTTGAGACGCACCCGGTATAAATTATTTAAAAAATTGTAGATGGAAATTATTTAAGGAATAAAAGTCTTAGCCCTTGATGTATCTAGACTTGCACCTTTCGACGTAGATAAATTATCTCCTTTAAACAATTAACAACTACCTCTGGGAAGACAATTTCTTTTTTTACGGCTCACGCTTTTCCAATTTGTATAAGGCGCAAAAAAGGAATTTCTGGTAAATTCCGTCAAAGTTCTTGTCGCATCCTCGTCGTCGTTTGTTTGAAAATGTTCTTTCAAAAAATCTATCACGCGTTTTTTTCGCTTTCCCACCTTTTTCGATAGAAATTCCATCAATATTTGATGTAGCCTTAACCGGCTTATAGGCATGTTTATAGCCATAAAACAACAACAATCAACAAAAACGATAACAACAAGTAACAACTAACACTATACAATAAACAACAACGAACAAATCACACAAAAAACAGAAAAATTAGAAACACCTTTAAAACGAACGCAGTTTGAAAAACTAACATTTAAATATTTGACAGCGCATGACATTATTGCCCGCTGAACGTTTTGTCGTAGATAGCGCAGACGACTTGATTTGCTTCGCATGTGCAATATCTTACAGTACGTTCAGTTTGAAACTTATTCTTGTCTATTCCTAAATGAAATACTTGATTATTTCAAGTATTATATGAAAATTGCCTTTATTCAATAAGAAATTCTAAAACTGATAATATTGAACTCTGCAACAACTCTGTAGACAACAAAATATAAAAAAGATCATATTTTTAGACTGTATTGACCAATATAATATTTTTAAATGGTTAATAATTTATAGACGTCTCCAAATTACACGGTGATTTTACTATTAAAATGACTTTCAGGACTTCGGTCATTTCCTTGAAGTTTAAGGGTCTGTATTTTTTATCTGGATTTCCGGATATAATTAATTTTTCGTCAGAAGTTAATTTGATATCCGTTGACCATAATTTGTGAATTTCAACGTCAAAAAAAAAGGTAGAAAATTAAGTTAAGATCGATGATTGCCCAGTCTGTACCACTGTGCGACGGCGCTCTGATTGGTCATATCGTTTTGGCGCCACATTTTATCCTTAATTTTTACTTCAGCTCGTCAACGGAGAAAGACTTTAAGCTTGATTTTCATGCATCCGTTATCCGACGATACGATGATACGATATTAATTTTATTGGTTGAATTTAAATTGGTTGAACTCAAAATGGGTTGACTTCGATTGGTTAGAAAATTACGCAGTTTTTAAATTTATTTCATTTTCATGCCTCCGTTCATCGGATATATGTACGATTTGCTTGTGATTGGTGTCATTTTATATTTTCATTTACATAACAACTTCGCTGCTGATTAGGAGCTAGCATTGTTTTCGAGAGAGAATTTTAAGAAAGCTGGTTCTTTGAACAGAGTGGCGGACAGTCTGGCTGCCGGTAGACGTTGCGCGTCTACTGCGCATCATAAATTCGCCCTGTATTTTAGAAACTAAGGAGGCTAGGACAAAACATGTGTAGCATATTTACTTTCATAAAAAAGTAGCAAAGTAATGTGAAAATCGCATCATTGTATCTCTACTCATAAACGAGAAATTCCATAAACCACACGAAAATGGGATACCTTGTACAGATGTGATGCGGGGTATGATAATATGATGGGTATACTACTCTCATAATATGATGGCTACACTCATAACTACAAACTACAAACTACTACTAACTAACTACAAACATTACTACACTCATAATATGATGGGTATACTACCGGCAGTCAGATGGCCCGCACTTTGATCAGGAGAGCATAGCAAAAGATATATTAAAGAACCAGCTTTCTTAAAATTCTCGTTTTTCCGACTGTGCTAGCTCTTGTACTATTATATTTTTATTAAGGCTAGTTTAAATTTGTCAAAAAAGTGTCAAAACTTCCGTTATCATACCATATTTCTCCGTTGACGGGCTGTGGAGTAAAAAATGTAGGGATGAAAAGTGGTGCGAAAACGCTATGATCAATCAAAGCGCCGTCGGAGCATCGTATCAACGGATAACGGACGCATAAAAATCAAGCTTTACGATAACGGATGTTTTGACACTTTTTTGACAAATTTAATCTAACTTTAATAAAAATATAATAGTACAAGAGCTAACAACGTCGGGAAAACGAGAATGAGGAAGATGCATATATTTTATTTTTCGCCAGAAACTGTTCAATTTATTAGAATAAATATGTATAAATGCAAAAAAAAAACTTTTTTCTTGAAAGCAGTACCACAATTTTATAAAATGGGCCATTAAAATACTATGGATAACGCAAACGACGCCTCGCGAATTGAAACGATATTCTATTGGTCTGACGCCACCCGCCGTTCTCGTCGACGCGCGATGGCCAGCAGCAGCCAGACGTGTTCCGTTTATGTACGTATTTAGATGGCTTACTAAGACATTTTTGTTGCTTTTAGCGTTGATTGAAGGAGTTTTTTATGCTTTTTTGTGCAGTTAGTATTTGTATGTGTTGTGTGTTCTGAGAATTTTTTAAGTAATGGCAGATTCCGGGTTTGTAAAAGCACAATCAGATAACTTGCCAAAAGTCGATGCTTTTATGTTGGCTGCTTTTATAAATACAAATTCCCAATTTATTGGTGCTGAATTACGAGGAAAAAAACAGAGAGGTATGTAACATTTATTCTTTGTAGTACTGAAGCATATTTAAGTATAAGTAGGTACCTACTGTTACGAACTTTTATAAGAGACAAAAATATTTCTTTAGTACGTGGAAAAATAACTCCAGAGCATAGCGTGAAAAAGAAAGTTTTTTTATATATATTGACACCCCCTTACCCTTGTTATTTTTAAAGATTGTTTTTTTACGAAATTATAGGAAATAAATTGTGTATCAGTAATGAAAATATTATACAAGGTGTCCCAGAAGCAAACGCCAAAATTAAGTTTTTTTTAAGTGAAACACCCTATATATTTTTGGATTCTTCGGAAATTTCTAGATATTCTACATATATTTTATGTATAATATCCTATACCTATCTTCAAATGTTTACGAAATATTGACAGTTGAAAAGCGAAAAATACCTACAATTTTCTGGACCACCTTTTTTGAGACACCCTGTATAACTAGAATTAATTTTAAAAGAGAGTATATGAAAAACCATGCAACTTTTTTATTTAATGTTTTCTTCTAAAACTTGCAGTTAAGGCTGTATGTGGGTGTCAAAATATAATGAATAACCTGTACATTCAAATTTCATATACCTATGTAAGACAATATACATAAATATATGAACTTACATCAAAATGATCTTCACAACAATAAATCGTAAAAATAGAGGATAATTTAACGTTTTTCTTTTCATCTCTTCTCATGGCCTTGGAGCATTTTTTTTTGTTTTCGCTCATCCATTACTATTTATAAATATCACTAATTACTAATTATGTATTAATTAACACAAATAACTAAAATTTTGACACGGATTCAACAGCGTTTAAAAGCAAACTATGTAAAATAAACACGCGTCTGGCTCCACTCAACCAGAAGAACGGCGGGTGACGTCACAGCGGCAAGGCGCGGTAGAGAGCGTTTGCCCGGCCATTTAAATTAACAATATTTAATTATCTTAGATTAGAGGCATTTCTTAACCGATATCAACGATTTTTTTTTGTTCAGTTTGTAATTATATGAACTATTTTTTAAAACCATTATTTAAAAACATGCATTTTCCTCATTTTAAGAAAGCTAGTTCTTTAATATATCATTTGTTATGCTCTCCTGATCAAAGTCCGGGCTGTCTGGCTACCGGTAGACTACTGCGGTTCACTGCTGCGCATCACATCTCTACAGGGTATCTAATTTTAGTGTAGTTTATGGGAATTCTCGTTTAATAGTAGAGTTACAATGATGCGATTTTCACATTACTTTGCTACTTTTTTATGAGAGTTAATATGCTACACATGTTTTGTCCTAGCCTCAGTTCCTGAAATACAGGTCGAATTTATGATGCGCAGTAGACGCGCAACGTCTACCAGCAGCCAGTACTCTGTTCAGGAGAACATATCAAAAGATATTATATTAAAGAACCAGCTTTCTTAAAATTCCCTCTCGAAAACGTTGCTAGTTCTTAGACTATAAGTAAAACAGCGAAATCGTTATGGAAATGAAAATATAAAATGACATCAATCACAAGCAAAAAGCAAATCGTACATCCAATGAACCGAGGCATGAAAATGCAATAAATTTAAGAGCTGCGTAATTTTCTAACAAATCGAAGTCTTTAAATTCAACCAACAAAATTAATATTGTATCGTCGGTTAACGGATGTATGAAAATTAAGCTTAAAAAGACATCAAAATTATTGAAACCAAAATATAAATACAGCAGAGAGATGGAGGCGATAATGAAAAAGGACAGAAACGATTTAAATGTAATGTTTGTCAATTTACGCCATTACGCCTAAAGTTAAAGTTGAGTTAACTTTTGGCGCAATGGCCTTGAATACGCGAAAATGCATATGTCAAAAATTTTAGTCAATATAATTGCTGGAGATCGATACGCTGATCCGCCTTTCTGCTTTTCCTGCGATGCGATGGTGTGGACTCAAGGTTATTAAATTAAACAGGTTGCCTCGTAATTTGACATTAGCCGCCATATTGCGCGTCATCGTGTAGTACTCAGCATTTTTCAGCTTGATTTTTTTAGTTTTAGTGTATTATAATTGATGAACTAGATAGTTTTTTAAAATTATTTATCAAATTTTCCTTAGAAATAGAGATCATTCCTACCTATAACAACCTATAATGTTCAGTATTGTTTTTGCTGACTGATGTATATGAATAATAAATTATTCCAACTAGGTTTCGATATTTTAACATGGTAAAAAGGTAAAACTATTTTTTTCCAATACAAGTATTGCTTAAAAATGTCAAATATCAGCAAAATTAAATAAAGATTTTATAGAAGAACAATTTAACTTGTGTAATTGAGCGTCCGGATTGCACAACGACCTTGACGACCGAGACAGTGACGCGCCGATTTAACAAAATAAATAATTTTAAACCTGCCGTCATTTCGTTAATAATTATCGTAGCGTGTTGATTTTTGCATAGAAATACTCATGAGTCTTTAGCGCTTCCGACAAGCCTAAATAACTGGATTATTTTTTATATTTTCGGTTTGTTTACATTGCCCGGGCATATTATAGCTTTGAGATAAAAATCTCTGTTATAAATTTTAAAACTGACAGATATGAATACTATCATTTAATTAGTTATACATTTAGTTACAACATATTCAAAATTTAGGTCTATCGGTTTATGGTAGCAGTAATAACGAGTATAAATAAAAAATGGTCAGTACAACGCTCGCCGTTTTTAGCGCACGTTCAGCTTTGGTTTTAGTTTTAGCGCTATTTTTACAGAATTAATTCTGAACTTTGATCAAATGACAAGAACATTATCATTGCCGATATCTCTTGGTTATAATGTAGTTCTTTTTTCAAAATATTGCATTGTTTTAGCTTAAAAATAAACTTGAATTATGCGGCTTTTTTGCGAGAGCTACCGGCGCTGCGTTAATAAAGAGATGGCTACTGTTACACGATAGTCTTTTGATAGTCTTTCGTTTACACGGAGTATAGAAAATTTTTGCCACAGCTTGTTTACTACCAGTAGTATTTGTGCGTTTTTTTTAAATTATTTATTATTAAATAGAGGGAAATGCGACCGAAAAGAAAGGTCAAAAGTTAGTAGAAATCCGGATAAACGGAAGTGCAATATTTCCAAAAAACCTCATGACAAGGTAAAATTAGAGTCTATTGTGGCTATGATTGACGTACATAACCATCTCTTTATTGACGCAGCTCCGGTAGCTCTCGCAAAAAAGCCGCATAATTCAACTTTTTTTTAAAGCTAAAACAATGCAATATTTTGAAAAAAGAACTATATTATAACCAGGAGATATCGGCAATGATAATGTTCTTGTCATTTGATCAAAGTTCAGAATTTATTTTCTATAAAAATAGCGCTAAAACTAAAACCAAAGCTGAACGTGCGCTAAAAACGGCGAGCGTTGTACTGACCATTTTTTTATTTATACTCGTTATTACTACTAGCATAAACCGATAGACCTAAATTTTGAATATGTTGTAACTAAATGTATAACTAATTAAATGATAGTATTAATATCTGTCAGTTTTAAAATTTATAACAGAGATTTTTATCTCAAAGTTATAATATGCTCGGGCAATGTAAACAAATCGAAAATATAAAAAATAATCGAGTTATTTAGGCTTGTCGGAAGCGCTAAAGATTCATGAGTATTTCTATGCAAAAATCAACACGCTACGATAATTATTAACGAAATGACGGCAGGTTTAAAAATTTTATTTTGTTAAATCGGCGCGTCGCGTCGCTGTCTCGCTTGCCTACTGGGCTGCTTGCGGCCACGCGCTAAGGTCGTTGTGCAATCCGGACGCTCAATTGTTATTACTATTAATTTCCAAACGGGAACCAACTGAAAGCGGAACTGAAGAATCTGGAAGACTCCGTCCGTAACTTGGAATGGGTGTCCTCCAACGGTCTAAGACACTCGAAAAAGTTCCTCAAAACTTACGACTCAGAAAAATCAAACGTTTTCCTTGATTTAAGTAAAAACAATCTTTGGATTGTCACGGGGTTTCTAACAGGTTTCCTCAACGAACACCTCAGTAGGCTGAAGCTGAGAAACAATGGTGAATGCAGATTCTGTGGGGAAAATGGAGAAACACCAGAACACCTTATCACTGAGTGCGCCGAGACGACGACCATTCGTGCCATGAACTTTGGTACTGCTGATGTCGGGGATGGAGTCATCTGGCCTCTGTGGAGCCGTCTCAGATACTGGCTTTTGTTAAAGCCGTAAGACAGTATGATGAGTTATAACTGTTGATAACTCAAGAAAGGGAAACACACAATAGACCTGTAAGGTCGCGGTGATTAACTCCCCTCCTAAATATTCTACATTCTATAACTATTAAACCTTTTGTTAACAGATATTTTAAAAATCCCCGTAGCTGATGTAATCGCGCCAACTGCTGTGATTGGTCCAAAGTTACGAGGCAACCTGCTTATCTTTGGTGTGGAACCAGCCAGAATTAATACAATCTTTTTTTAGTTGAATTTGGTTAAATCATTATGTGTGCCTCCTGCAGTTCAAGATAGCAATCTTTCTAAGAATTTGGTCAAACTTTTCAGTGAAGGGATAGATACTGATATGGAGTTTGAAATTATCTGTGATACTAAAGAAAATTCTTGTGAGAATAATGCAACGGCAGAATCAGACAGACATATTTTTAAAGCACATAGAGTTATTGTAGCTGCAAGATGTGATTGGTTTAGAAGGGCCCTGTTATCTGGAATGAAGGAAGCTATACACAAGTACAAATACCGTATGATGAAAAAAACGGCGTCTAGTTGGCTTGGAAATGATGATCGATGAAATTCCCCATATAATTTTACATATAAAATGACAGCGGTCTACATTTCATAGCCATCATTCGATGCCGTTTTTTTTTCGATTATATTGTATTAGCAATTAATAAAGTAAAGAAGTGTTGTGCAATAGTACATTTAAATTTCTGATGCTTATTTTATAGGCATACATAATTTTTAGAGTTAATAGTGTGGCCTATATAGGCTTGGTGCATTCTCCGCTGGTGCTGCCACCAACGGAGAATATCGTAAACAATTGATTTATTCAAATACACGGGTTTAAATAGCGAGTATACGAAAAATTTATTATTTAATAATTCTAAAATGTTAGAATAGTTTGTGAAAACTTTAAAAATAAAAATAAAAAAATAAATATTTTGATATCTTCAGGTCTAACTTGTATTATAATCCATTATTCCAGCTAAAAAAAACTATTTAGATGAGTTCAACTACGGTAGCGAGTAGCGAGCATAGTTTTACGCACCGGTTTTGCTAGTGGAGTCATAATTGGGGCTATTTCGGTTATAACGATTTTTTAAAGGTAGTTACATAGCTAATTATAATTTTAGAAGATGTTCTTAAAACATTTAATCACTAGTTGATTAAAAAAACTATATCATTAATATTGTAAATTATATTTTATCCTTTCATAGTCTGTTCTCTCCTAGTCTATTTAATTTTGAGACTATGTAACGAGCACTTTGTTTACTCACTTGTTTCGTCGAACTGCTTGAATCCATTCTTGCTTTTGATTAAATTGGTATGAGAAACTGTGAAGCTATACAATGTTGTTTCGGGAGAGTTGAATATCTTAAAAGTTGAGTTATTGAATATTATTGCACCCAACAACGCCCTAATTAAGCTCTCCTTTAAGTGTTAATATTTTTTTTGCCAATTTTATTAATATTTGAAATTGTCACACAAAAACACCACATGACGCCTAGTTCGGATTCTTTTTTACTTTTTTTTACTACCCGAAACAGCGTTACATCACACAAACTTCGTACCTGAGTGTTTTATAGTTTCAATTGCTGTCCTCCATTCACGCAGTTGTGCAGCTCTGAACTGTTCAAGAACGCGATACTCTCACTCCATTCAATTGAGGCATAAAGTTCCAGAACTGTTCCGCGCCATATGAAGGCACCAGGCTATTGCGCACAGCTCCTTTCAGAACCGTTCTCGAGTAGCCCAGGGCGTAAAGCACACTTGAAGTTCGCGAATGGAGGACAGCAAATAACTGCACTAGCAAAAAACTATTCTTAAATATTATCATAAAGCCAAGATTTCAATATTATTTTAATGCGATCAACAAACTGTAACTGGGGCGGCGTGAAATACATAGCGAAAATTTCTGATTTCTGCTGTATACAGCGCTACGGTCGGAATTTTTTAAAATCAACTGAAATGCACCAAGCCTATATCTACTTTTACAATGGTCGCAGGTCGCCTTTGCTGGCCGGACCAATCTGATTCAGTGCGCGGTGTATACAGGGTGCTACAAATTCGAGGTACGAGCATTGGTAACTCGGTAACCGTAATAGATACGAGCATGGTTAAATTGGGGCAAAGTTGCCACTTTGGGATGTTCACCAAGATGCCATCAAAAAAGTTTTAAAAATTTCAAGGATTGCTGAGGTTTTTGGAAAAAACGGATATTTTTGAAAATCAATTATATTTTTTCCTGTGGATAGTTTTTAGAAAATCAAAAAACTAATTGCACATTCTCATAGCCATTTTATCAGGGCTATCTGATAGTATTTTTAGATTTTCAAATCAGCTGATAATTTGTGAGATACAGAGGCCAACTTATTTTTTTTAAATACGGACCTGCAATTTTTATTTCAGATTTTGAAAGAACTCGCTCTCCTGAGTACAATGATATGTCACACTTGATATATTTTTTTGTTTTGGAAATTTGGATACAATTTATTTAAACTAATTTCAAGTCCGGCTCTGTATTTTTTAAATATTTAATATTTTCATCGTTACAATATTGATAAGCTTTTAAACTTAACAGTGACGTGGGTTGAATACGGAAAATCAAATGCAATAAAATAATAAAAAATAATACAAATAAAATGTAATATAAACAATCAACCATAATTTAATGGTTGTAATTGTAATTTAATATAAACAGTCAACCATAATTATTTAAGTTTTACCATAAAATGACATTTTTTGATGCTATTATTTTTTTTTATTTTCATCAGTGGCGTCTCTACGGTATTTAAACTAAATATTATTGTAGAAAAAAATGGTACGCCACTGTTTTTTTAAATAAATTTTTATATATATTTTATTATTAAAATATATACAGGGTGAGTTTCCTACGATGTTCTCTATGGGTATATCGGAAACTACTGGAGATAGAGAGTCAGTTAAATGAGCAAAGAATTGCAGTTTTGTGGGGTCATAAATATGCGCTTTTCAGATTTTCGAAAAAGTTCATGGCTTACTAGATATTTCGAAAAAAAACAAATTTTGGCTATTTTAAAAATTGTCCCTAATTCCATTATAATCTATTTTAGACAAAAAGTGTTCAGATAAAAGTTGTAGATAATCACATCGCTAATGAGATTGTGATCTCCGTTTTTTTCTAAAGCCTGTCATTTTTGACATATAACACAAACATATCTTTTTTTAAATGGAAACCATAGTTGGCCATGACTTCATAAAAAGCGCCGTTTTTTAAGCTTTTCAGCGATATAAGCTATAATATGTTTCTTTCACAAAATTACTGAGTTATAGCCAGTTCTTATCTTTCTTGACTAATTTCACTTAGTTAGCCATGGAAACAAGTTCAATCGTCGTTGCTCTCAGAAATGTGAAATTGTCACATCAAATCTTTGTAAATTAACATAAACAAAAATTGTAAATAAGAGTTTTTTAAATGAAGAAAGGCGTGTAGGATTATTGGTTCAACTTTTCTTGGCCATACAGTTTCGAGGATACGTTGACCGGTGAACGTTACGTTTATTAGAGAACGGTTTTCAAGACATGTTAGAAAAGTTAAATTTAGATACTCGCGCATTAATACAGTGGTTCCAACATGACTTGCATTATGACACACCAACCCCCGCCCCACAATGAAAGAAATGTTAAAAATTATTTTTATCATAATTATGAACTCAGGGATAGAACGAGGTGGACCAATTGCATGAGTCTCCTCGGTCACATGACCTATCCATTTTAGATTTTTTATGCGGTATGGTTAACAACAAGGTTTACAAAAGAATTAAGTCGACCGGTTGTTCTGCGACAATAGCTAGAAATTCAGTTTTAGAAAGATGCATTTATGTACTCAAAATAATTGCGGATTTTTTGAACATTTTCTAAAATAACTTAAAGTGTACGTAGTGATATTATTTTTTTTAAGTTTTAGTTTCTGTAGTGTAAATTGTAAAGAGCCGTTTAATAATATATTTTGTCTTTTTATGTTATAAATCACAACAAAATTTGAACACCATTGAAAACCGTTCTCTAAAAAACGTAAGTAACTTTCACCGGTCAACGTATCCTGTATGGCCAAGAAAAGTTGAACCAATAATCCTACACGCTTTTCTTCATTTGAAAAAAATTGTATTTACAATTTTTGTTTATTTTAATTTAGAAAGATTGGATGTGACACAATTTCACATTTCTGAGAGCAACGACGATTGAACTTGTTTCCATGGCTAACTAAGTGAAATTAGTCAAGAAAGATAAGAATTGGCTATAACTCACTAATTTTGTGAAAGAAACATATTATAGCTTATATCGCTGAAAAGCTTAAAAAATGGCGCTTTTTATGAAGTCATAGCCAACTATGGTTTCCATTTAAAAAAACATATGTTTGTGTCATATGTCAAAAATGACAGGCTTTCGAAAAAATCGGAGAACACAAACTCATTAGGAATGTGATTATCTACAACTTTTATCTGAACACTTTTTGTCTAAAATAGATTATAATGGAATTAGGGGCAATTTTTAAAATAGCCAAAATTTGGTTTTTTCGAAATATCTTGTAAGCCATGAACTTTTTCAAAAATCTGAAAAGCGCATATTTATGACCCCACAAAACTGCAATTCTTTCCCCATTTAACTGACTCTCTATCTCCAGTAGTTTCCGAGATGCCCATAGAGAACATCGTAGAAAACTCACCCTGTATTAAATTTGGAACAAATTTGATCTCTTGACTTTTTTGGTACGACGCACCGTTTTTGCGTAAAAAATAAAAACAATTTTCATACGTGACTAAATCGCTAAAATTTTACCGTAAATTTCAATGGCAAAATTTTTAAAACGGCAAACATAAATTTAAAATAATTTTTTATTTTCTAAAATCTTGTTTTTATTACCCAAGTGCGAAGCAAAATGTCAAAATGTTAAATTTTGCTATGAGAATTTACATTAAAATTTTAGCGATTTGGTCATATATGAAAATGGTTTTTATTTTTTACGCGAAAACGGTGCGTCGCGTCGTACCAAAAAAAGTCAAGAGATCAAATTTGTTCCAAATTTAATGTAGATTTTAAAAATTATTTTTATTAAAAAAAACAGTAGCGTACCATTTTTTTCTTCAATAATATTTAGTTTGGTTTGGTTTGGTTAGTTAAAAAAAGTTAATAGCATCAAAAAACGTCATTTTATGGTAAAACAATGTGTACCAAATTTAGTGATTTTTGTCCAACAGGGCCAGATATTAAAAAAAACTCTTTTTAGGGGCGAAATTTAGGAGACTGTAAATCCGAAAAGGGGGACAACGGCTTTAAATATACAAAATTAATTTGAGTGTTTACACATTTTAATACCTATAGGAATTTTAAAACATTTTCCGATGCACGTCATCAATCACATCGACATTGACACTAAAGCCTATAAACCTGAGTAAATGAAATTTTAGCAAAAATGTTTAAATTTGTTTACTTATTTAAGATACCAAGCAGCTCTTCATTATACTTTATAGAGCAAATGATTGTAACAGATATTTTATTTAGATTAAAGCTGCAAAAATTAGTTTAAACCGATTTTTATTATCGCCTTGTTGGTCACATTGCGCCATGTTCAGCAATGTTGTCGTGTATTATTTGACAATTATCCTAGTGTCAGTCATTATTTTGTATAATATCGTGTTGTTGAATTTTTGGGAGGAATTCTCGTTTTTTTTGCCGTTTTTCATAGTTTTTTTTCTTCTTAAATTGTACTTCTAAGCACAAACAGTTCTTTTAAGAACTAAATTTTCGAAATTTTTTACTGCATTTTTTTAAATTGTGGATTGAAAATATGCCGAAGCCTTCAAACAGTCGAAGCAAAGCGCTTTTAGCTTCCCTGATAAAATATTTTGAGCGCGAACGTGACAATAAAGGTCCTTTATTATCCTTGAATGCAGTCAGAGAAGTAAGATTGATTGGTAAGCACATTATACCACTTTCAAGTTATTTCTACTTATTTCAATTTGTAGCAAGTAGCTGCTGACATAAAAAAAATATATAAAAATTATGTACTAAATATATTGTTTGTAACTTTTAAATTAAGATTCATCTCATAAATGGATCACAATCTGACAGCGCTGTCGCCATCGCTTGTCACTCAAAGTATGACGTGCATCGGAAAATGTTTTAAAATTTCTATAGTACCTGCTGTTCTCATATTTTATACATTTTGTACTTAATATTCTACATATTCTACATTTTCTACGCACTTCTCTACATACACGTAGAAAATTAATTTTCTACGCATCGTTACCCAATCTTCCCGGTCGGGGCGGTTCTAATTCAGTACGCGTTGAGCTTTATTTTATCGACAGCACACAAGCGGTGCCATGTATGCGATTGGTGGACCTTCCACTGTATTTAATCTACCGTTGTCAGCGAGAAGGAATATGCAATGTCCATATATTAAATAATACTTTATGTTAAATATCGTTAAGCACAATTTAATTATTATTGAAAACAATAATTACAATTTCTAAAAGTTATTCTTTTGTTGTTCTTCAATTTCTGAACAGAAATTGAAGAACAACAAAAGAATAACTTTATATTCAAAACATTTTGAATATTAAGATTAATTTTTTACAGGAGAATTGAAATTCACGAGATAAATCCTGTTGTTTTTAAAATATTTTTGGAATATCTTTATGGCGGGAAAATACAGAAACAAGATCTTTCCATGGAACAATTATTAGATCTCATGTTGCTTAGTGACAGGTACGAAATGGATGCCCTTAAACAGACTTGTGAGTGTTCTCTTAAGAAGAGCATCGATATTGATTCTGTATTGTACCTATTAAATATCGCCTATCAATATAACGCTATGATTTTGAAGGTAAGTTTTACTCTTTATAGGTGTATTTACTAAACAAATTATGTAGAATTTTCTCTATAAAATTGAAATTTTATTATAACAGATATGTCCTAGTTATTACAACTGTTTTTTTTGCTTGCCTCGTGGTGAGGTGATGAGTTTCTTGATGCTACCTTTCCTTATGAAGTCATTATAGTCTGTCCAACGAGAAGATCCTTGACAGTGATAGATGTGTCTGTCATTTTAATTTCAAAGTAGTTTATTTATTTTACAAAGAAATAAGTTGGTACAACTGGAACGCATAGCAGGACATTAATATATGTATTTAAAATTTGACTGACAAGTAACTTCAAAATATTGTGAAAAAAACTGTATAAAACTGAAAAAATGTAATCGAGTTATTTTATTTAATAAAAAACGGTATGTGTTAATACAAAACAAACAAAAACAAGACACCACATACCAAAAAATATAAAAAAGAACTATTTCTTACTTTCAAGCTTTAATAAACTTCCCGCATTTATGATTATATTTATCAATATAACTTTTGTACAAATACAAGTTTGTAATATTCCGCAGGAATAAATAAAACAAACTATTTTATTAATAATAACACTTACCAAATTTTATACCTCACAGGTTGATTAATTAACTTTAATCTTAATTTTTTTAAACCAGTACCTTTTGACATTATTTTTCTGCAGTACTAAAATCCATTATTTACCTATCGTGTGATGTCGATATTTTACAGCTACTCTAGTTTTTAGTATGGTCCTTCTACCATATTCGAGATGCACTTATCTACGACGAGATGGTATACGAACTTTATTGATAGTAACTTTATTGGTGTATCTGTATAAGACTTTCTGCGTGGGCAGCGAGTATTAACCATAAACTGTGCTCTGGGTTCTACAGTTAATTTTCACTCGATTTTTCGTCCACTTGACTTCAAAAGACACAAAACACACGTAATAACACGAATCAAAATGCATCATCTTCCAAAACGCAGGGTATTTGTCAAAAGTTGTCACAAAATTATAACCTATAATTTGGCAAGACTTTGACAAACGTCAAAAATCTAAAGGCGAGTTCATACGCGTCAGCGTCCGTTTGTCGTTCATCGTTCCCTCAAACCAATAAAATTGAAATACGATCTGTCATTTTTGAAATAAACCAATAAAACTGGTTAAAAACAACAAGTGACGCCGCATGACGTATTTATATTTAAACCCATCCAGAGTTAACTTAAAAATTATTAGAAACTTTTTTTAGTAAAATAAATAGGTTGGTATGGGACGTCATCTGCTTTTCTTCTGTCATCGTCTGTCGAAATCTTACCTGAGAAAAAAAAAGAGTATAGTTTATATTTATATAGTGACCTATAAATCTTATTAACTTATTTCAAAAACAACTCATACTAGAAAATTGAAATTTGGTGTTTGGATGCCACTAACCAAATTTAGTTTTAGGTATAATTCTTATTTGCTTCTGTCATATATAGAATGTTTAAATAATAATGTGTGTCCCATTTTCGTGAGTTTAATGGGGTTTCCCGTTTATGACTAAAGATACAAAGATGGTTTTCACAACACTGTGCTACTTTTTTTTATGAAACAGAATTGTTTTAGCCCCCTTGGTTTCTGAAATACAGGTCGAATTTGAAAATATTGCATTTTTCGACTTCCTTTGTATCTTAGGTATCTTATAGCTTATCAAAAAGGTGAAAACTGCGTTCCGCAGAGTATTTTACGTAGAAACCAGTGGCGTAACAGTTCTCGCTGGGATCTGTCATTTTCGAAATATGACTGAAACTTATGTTTTTTTTAAATGATACTGGCCAAGTAATAACGTCTAGGGTTTGACTTTGCCAAAATTACCATGTCATTCTCGGCGTCAGCCGTTTTGACGCTGTTTTCTTTCATTTGTATGGTATTAAGTATATGTTCATACAATCCGGTGTTTAACCATAGTAAATTTTTGTTATTTTTAATATAAAATTCAATTGAAGTGATTAAAAAGTACTCCCTCAATACAAAAAGAAATGCAACGAAGTTACAATTAAGGAATAAATAATAAATCAAATTCGATACAAATTTCACCGGTTTGAAATGACGCGTAGAAAATTGTGACATCACCTATCAGCATTTGACTGAATAGTTGACAGAGGGCGCTCCAGCCTCTGAAGAATAATATTTGGCGTGTCTAGTTCTCTGCTACCGTATTTACACCATATATCTTAAAATCACGTTAGATTTTTCTATTTATTATTATTATTTATTAAGATCGTTAAAAAATACGTTTTTATGTGGGATTATTCTTTATTACCCCAATATTAAATTTACTTTTATATTTTTCACTACTAGAAATTAAAACTTAAATTTTTATAATTAACAGGTTACTGCCATTTTTATCGGAGCATTAAACACTACCACAAACTAACTTAATTTAGGTTAGTCTGTGACACTACCAAAGTTGTTCGGATGTTCGAGGCGTTCGAGGTTAGATTTGTATTTTGTTGATTTTGCGTTTGGCGTTAAATACTTTGAGTTTTCAATTTTGTTTTATTGTACCCTCTTTATTCTTTTTGTAATGAAGGGTATTAAAGTTTGTTTTGTGAAGGTCAGTCTAAATAACTCTGAAGGCTCTTCAGAAAAAGTTTTTAGAACTGTATGAAAGCCGTCGAAGAGTCTGGTTTGTAGCGACAAGACAACAATATGTCAGCAAAAGTACGAGATTTTGCTGTGAAGATCATATTAACTTAGTTCCTTAAGATTTATTTTACAATTAATTTTATATCTACTTTAAAGGGGTTTTCGGAAACTGTGATCTGATTGATCGGATTGATAGGATTACTAATCCAGACGTTCGAAAAGTGATCTCAAAACGAGTCAATGCGTTCGGAAAGTGATCCGAATAACTCGATTTTTGCCATATGTTGTGATCCTACTAACCCTCCTAACGAGGTGGGTAGAATTAATCAGCTGATCATTTCTAGGGTAATTTTAAACGTAACGGTCCGCATAGAAATATAAAGTTTTTTAACAACCGTTTTGTCCGAAATCACTTTATCCAATGTTGATTAAATACATGATATTTTGTTAGTGACCGTAAAAATGAGCCAATCAGCATAGCATCAAGTAACTAGATTTTAAATAAATAAAAAATCAAACTAATTCTAAAGATACTGACTGCGAAAAAGCACTATCGGTGACACCCAATAGGAAAAAAATGAAAACTGAACTACAGAAAAGTGGTTTAAAACATTTAGATTAAAATAGCCAGGCATAATGAAAGAATGGAACTTGATAGACAATTCTGAAAATTTTCATCACAATGGTAGATAAAAATTGATATATTTTTTTATTATTAATATGATGGAATGTTTATTATGTTGGCAGTAAATAAATGATTAAAATAAAGTTTAAGTATAGTGTTTTTGTTTTAAATGGCATAATTTTAAAAAAGCCTAAAATAAAACATATTTTGTTTTTATAAAAAATAGTCTTACAGAAACTAAAAAGTATGCTTAAAGCAAAACAAATAGGATAAAAATAGATCTTATACAATCGTTAAAGAGGGATATTAAGATTAGGTAAAGATTATATTTGTTTAATTTATCTCTTTTTACAAAATATATTTAAATGTGATTGTTAACCCGGTTAATCTAATGATCAAACCATAATCAAACCGTTCGTAATTAAACTACCAGCTGATTACTCTCAGCACTGATCTTGGAACAGCTGATTAGTAAACTACCTAATCTAGGATTTTATTTCCGAAAACCCCTTAAAATACATTTAGAAAAATGGTTTTTATTTACCTTTGTACCTGGTGGCAAACCGTGACACTTTTGGTAGGTGACGTCAGAGATTGCAAAAGTGTAAATTTGAAATTCTTAATATTGATTAATTTTTTTTAAAAAAATGGGATGAGATTGAAGTAAAATAAAAAAATACGGGTGTCATAAAATTGTATGAAGATTAATTATTTGCATTAAAAAAACTATGGTTAAACTCCGGATTACTTTTTTGTTTTTTTTACTCGGGTTCTTACAGAAAAATAAAATAAAATGAGAAAGTTGGTGATATGGAACATCGTATACGCATTCAGACACGCAAAATTAAATAAGATTTTTTTATCTTTTAACTCATTTAAATTTACATTAAATAAAATACGAGTTTTTCATTGGCTTGACTAATTTATTCTTTTATTTTATCTTACTTTTCTGTGACCCACTAATAAGTAGGTTATTCAAATTTAATTAGTAACGTCAAGTGGTTTATACTTTTAGAAAATGTGCACAAGGTTCATATTAGCTCATCATGAACTTATGGAGGGTGAGGAATTTGGTGACCTACCCCTTGCTTTACAATCCGAAATAATTGATATGGTATGGACAATGCCTGAGCCTACATCCGATTCTGATCTTGAGAGTGACGTTGACAGCATTTATTCCGACGTAAGCCGATTAATCAATTTTCTATTTTATTATTTTATTATTTTGATCAGCACCGTTATGGTTTTATAAATCCTAGATCATATATGATTCTTGTCATCGTAAAAGCGTTGTCTGGAATTTAACTTGCATGACAGCAATGTGTATGATGCAAACAGCTTAATCGAAAATCAAATGTATTAAAATCATTGTATTAAAAAAGTGATAAAAGTTGGGTTGATACATTTCTTCTTGCGGTATTGCTTGCGGATTTTACATCAAAATTTCAAACCGCACCAGTAGGCGTTTATGAAAAAGTTGCATCTAGGATTGGAATTTTATTTTTCACAATCAGTTACACATTTTGCTACAGCTGTAATATATTATATTTAGCTTTGATATATTATTATCTTTATTTTACATTTATTATCTTTATATTACACATGGAAGTTTTTAAAATAGTTAATTTTTTTCCTACAAACATTTTCCCACACAGGTAACCGGCAATACTGTGTGCTCTTTTTATTTTGTCTCTGTCTGTCAACCGGTCGTTTATATTTATCTTTGTCATGTGCGTTAAAATACAGATCACGCAGATGAAGTGTCCAGCATGGTATACTTACGTTGATATGTAAATAAGTAGGGACACTGTCGCAAATATATCAACAACTTATTTTTATCTTCTGTCTTGCACACGCGGCGCTTCTACTCATCTATCCTTGGTCAGGAAAAATCTACCTAGGAAAAATTTAACTACATTTTCATGTTTTTTTCTTAATTTTCTCTAAAACGGCATGGAAATTTGGAAAAGTATAAACGGGAATAACAATTTTAGAACAAGCAAATTTTTTTATGCAAAAAGAATTTTTCTCAAAATATCAAAAATAAAAACCTTTTCTTCTTGTAAAGACAATCCAGGGACATACTGTATATTAAACAAGATTACACATTTTGGTAGATTGAATTTTGAACAAGACACTATTATACAGTATTTATTATTTAAAAATTGTAAAATTCTTCGGATTTAGAATTTTGAGAGGGCTGTAAATAAGCAGTAAATTTTAGTTTAAAAACGGTTATACTTCAAAAACCACTGGGCATAGTATATGACGAGACATAAAAGATATGGCTAGTCAAAAACATATGAAAACACGTAAAAAAGAGGCTTGTTTAGCTCCTAGTATTTTCTATTCCGAGTCCTGGGCGATGAGACAGAAATGAAAAAAAATGACGCAGCTGAGATACTACTGGCTCAGAATTCACTGCCCGACGAACCAATGAATCCATAATCCAACAACTGAATATTACAGAACGTCTCTCAACTTCTATACAGTCTCGTATACTTAAACATTTCGGTCACGTTATGAGGAGGGATACTGTTTGTATGGAAAGATTCATACATGGCAAGGTTCCAGGAAAAATATTGGTCTTTTTCCTGGGCCGCTCGCCTTCCTGGAACCAGCTGTCAAAGCTCACCCAGAAGCACATCACTTGACCACTACATTTCTCTTAAGGTGCGTCCACATTGCTCGCGAGCAAGCCCAACGAACCCGTGAAACACTAAAAACATGGCAAACAGTATTATAGTATTCAGAATTAAACAGTATTTCAGAATTAAAAATAGTTGTGTTTTGTTCTTGGATTAGCAATATTAAATATACCTTTAATAAAACATAACTTTATATTTATATTGCCTACTTATCTTAATCTGATCTTTTTGAGAACTTTATTTATATTTTGGCATACGCCTGGTACTATTTTTGAAATGGTTTGCTTGGAAACTTTGAATGAATAACCCAAGCTGGTATGTGAGTCTCCAGTTGCAAGGAATATTAATGTTATAGCCAATCTTTTTTTAACCAGAATTCACTTCCTAAAAGTTGTATTTTTTCTATCTATACGGGGGCCAACTAAGTTAATAAGTTTTTAAAAATCAGTAGCGGACATGCGATAAAAATTATTAAAAAACATTCTGTCTGTTTGTAAATCGTGTAGAAGTTTACTTTCACTGTGCTGGGATCTACTTTTGAAATTATTAGACATCCAACACTGCCTTTTTTCTCTCTTTGCCTCCTTCGTTTTGCAATAATGATCGCACTAGCAGCCGCTATTAAAAATACTTCGGTATCATCCATGTCCGAACAGCAGGAAGGCAAGCACTACATTACAATGTGAACGCCGTTGCTTGCGAGCCGAAAGATCTTGAGAAACACGACAAACAGGAAGCGCAAGGAACGCAAGCACAATCAGAAGCAAGAGCGCGAGCAGGATCACGAGCAATGGGGAGGCACCTTTACAGGAATAAAGACAGAGAGAGATAGTATATGATATTATGGTATTTTTCGAATGGAAATTTAATGATAAATCCACTGAGCTAAAAATATACAGTATTCCATATATAAATATACAACTTAAGTTTGAAAATATGTTTGAATTATTCTGTATGTTGACAAAATATTTTACCGTTGCTATTGCCCATTTTGGAAATAAAAATCATAAATCAAAAGCCTAATATAGAGCTTTTTTCGATGCCGGGGTCACCCTCTATTAAATCGGCCAACTTATCCGCTGGTGTATGGGAGGTAGAGTGATGGGCAAAACTGTTATTTTTAGATAGCAGTTGAAACTGTTATAGTTATTTATAAAAAACAGCTTAAAATAACAGCTTAAAAATAACAGGTTTCTGTATTTTATTGCTAAATATCTGAAAGAGTATGAGGCGGTCACCGCCAGGCGTATTAACGTAGTTGCAAGTTGCAACAATGACGTGCTCGGTGGTAGTATTTCCAGGGTGTCAAAACGTTTGTAAATATCGATTGTTATCTAAAATATCTCTCTAAAAACGGTGGTTGTTTACAAATTGCGATATAAAAAAAGCCAAAATTCCGCCTCTCGTCTATATACCTATACATTCCGATCTACCTACGCCCTGCCCCTCGATCCGCGTAGATCCTGAATTGCGTAGCAGTGTACCGGGTGCATCTCACTCGACGGGCAAGAAGCTCTTAGTTATGATTTTACCATTTGCGGTCAAAAATTATCAATATAAGAAAATGTGTAGTATATTCTTCATAAGTAAACCAACTACACACTAGAGTTCGAATTAATTTTACACTTAAACTAGCGTGTACCCGCGACTTCGTTCGCGTCAAATTAATAATTGGTAATGGTGATGATAAAGCAAAACAAGAATTTCCATTAACATACAAACTGGATAAAATTTTCTCACATTTGCCAAAAATAAGCTTTAAACGTCGAGCAGTTTAAGCAGAATCGTGGTTAATCAATTACTCAACTTTTTGGAACACCCTGTATGATTTTTTAAAAAAATTCAAAATATGTAAAAAAACAAAATAAATTATGCGTGTCCAGGCGTTTTCCTGAAAGACTAACCGTTTTTTAAATAACAAATATTGTAATATTTGAGGGGCGTTTTCACCCTCTTGGAATTTGAGATTCCCCTCCTTATCGAACCTCAACCCCACAGTCAATCCGTCTGCCAAAAATCAGCTTTAAACGTCAAGCAGTTTAAGCAGAATAGTGATAGTGGTCATATTTTATGAAACACCCTGTATATATTTTTAAAAAATCTTAAAATATGTAAAACAACATAATAAAATATACGTGTTTTAAGAGTTTTTCCGAAAAACTCACCGGTTTTTAAATAAAAAATATTCTAATATTTGAGGATGGTTTCACCCCGTTAGAATTCGAGTTTCAAAAAATCCCTTCTTATCGAACCTCTACACCCTAAAGTCAATCCGTTTTCCAAAAATCAGCTTTTTACGTCATAGGCTTGAAGCAGGATCGTGATTAATCAATGACCAGATTTTTCAAAACACCCTGTATACATTTTTAAAAAATCTTAAAATATTATTCTGAAAATTTTTCAGAATAAATAAATACCTAAATATTGAAACTTAATAAGTAAGTACTGAAACATACAGCGCCATAATATCTCGACCTCCGCCCGTTATGCTCGTAACAGGTTGAAAAACAATATATCTAAAACAACTGATGCGTTATTCTCCAACCTGTTTCGAACCTCCATCGACAATCGACCGATGCAGCAGCGTTACTTTCCCACTCCGATTATCTCGACCGCCGCTCTGTTATGCTCGTAACAGGTTAAAAAACAACGTATGTAATGACTGCTTCTCCAACTCGCAATGACTGCTTCTCCAACTCGTTGCGGGCCTCAATCGACAATTGACCGATGCAGTAGCGTTCCTTTCCCACTCCTGTTATCTCGACCGCCAGGCGTTATGCCCGCAACTGTTTCAAAAAAGCTGCTTCTTTTATATCCTATTATTTTTAAGCTGTTTCAAGCCCCACACGACCATCGACCGATGCAGCTACGTTAGCCGCGCCGCGCCGGTAGCGCATTCCCCACTCCGTTGTCCGTTGTATCTCGCCGCCTGTATCGATGGTTGTCGAAATAACATGTTTTCCATCCATAGTTGTTTTTTGGAATTGCTTCGAGCAGCATCAAATTTCGTGGCGGTGCAGAGCGCCGACTTCGTTTCACGAACGGTCGATCTCTGCGTACCGTTATTTTATATCTGTTATTTTTTAAAAGTAGTAACGGTTGCGTTATGTTATTTCTAAATAATTGTTATAAAATAACAGATAGTTAAATAACAACTTATCACTAATGGGAGGCTATAAAATTAACTTCTAACTGAACACATTTTTGAACAGCTTTTAAATATGTGAGTTATCTGTCACTTAGTATGATATTATAGTCTTTTTCTTCTCACACGTTGATTTTCTAACGATTTAAAAACAAGTTTAAATTTAATACAAGTGTTCATAATTTTTGAGTTGAGAGATTGGTGATTTTTTAGGTCGTTAATAAACCACCAACAACGTCTGAAGAAGCTGAAGGACATTCGACTTCGAAGCTCGAGTCGCAGGTGGCACAGTTGCGAAACATTCTGGGAGATGCTCCGACGAAATCTTGTCTGGTGCAACTTATTTTGGCTGCCGATTATAATCTTGAACGTGCTATCAACTTTTACTATTCGGCCTAATCTAATAGTTGATGATAGATGACGAAAAAAATTTTTGATATCAAGTTACTTTGTAGTAAGTACTCATAAATTCAGCTTTATTTAGATTTTACAGATTTCGAAACAAACAGTATTATTTTAATTTATTTTTGATCAACGTATATTATCGTTTGTATGGAGTGTATTTTGAATTTAAAGAAAATTATAGACCTTTATTTGGCTTTTTAAACGCAAATTTTAAAAAAGATTTCGAAACAAACAGTATTATTTTAATTTATTTCTTGATCAACGTAAATTATCGATTGTATGGAGTGTATTTTGAATTTAAAGAAAATTATAGAACTTTATTTGGCTTCTTAAACGTTCTATGAACTATGCTTTTTTTTTGTTTAGAAATATATTTTATATAATTTGTCTTTAGAGGTACTGTGCTGAAAAGCCTATGCGAGATTTCTAAATATTCTGCAGCATTTAAAATTAGTTTGTTATTTTGAATCTTTTTAAAAAATATTTAATGATAATTAATTTTTAATGGCTAATTAATTGTAGGCTATATTCACATAGGGTAACTTTTCATGTCGTCCGAGTGGTTGTATTACACAGTTATGTTAATAATAATGTTAATGTTGTTAAAATAAATATTTGTAATTGGACATAAAGCTTCATTCAGAACTTCCCAATTAGTGGAATAAATTAGTGGTTTCAATTACACTATATACTTTTTAGTTTACGATCATTCACAATGTCTACGATCAAACACAATTAATGATTAAAATTAATAAAATATCCTAGTAACAGCTTGCGATAGTCTGTTGTATCCATAGAGAAAGCATAACAATATTTAGCCATAACCAACATGAGATACAGGCCAGAGACATCGATTTGTGACGTCACCGCAATAGTCGGGCTTTTGAATTGTGCCATATGGTACTGCATATAGTTTTTGCATAAATAATAGTATTTATTGATAGTTTTGCTAGATATAAATATGAAAAATATTACACACAAAGGTATTAAAAAATAACATTAACTTTTTATCGCGTGAAAGTAATTAAAAAGCATTAAAATTTAGATCTAAAACACGAATATTAATATGAAATAAACAACAGCATAAGATGAACAGAATACAATCCAGATAATAAAAAGCATGTTCTAAAATTGCGTTAGCGAGTATTTAGCAGCTAGTAATAATACACCTTGTGATAAAGTTTCCAAATATTAAAAAATTTGAAAACTATACTTTATCGACAAGTTAAGAAAATATATTGTATATGATAAGGGCAAAATACATTTTAAAGTTTAATTAAAAATAATTGTAAAAATTTGCCTAACATATTTAAAAAATGTGGATATATCAGGTAGAATTAACTATTATCATTAAGTAATTTGTAGTTCGATGTTCAAGTAACCATTTCCATAAATCGTAAATAAAAAGATAAAAATATTTTTTTTTATATAAAATTCTGAAATAAAGTACAATTCATTTAATTTCTTTAAAATATATTGCCATTTCATAATAATAATAATAATTTTCAATATTTATTTCATCCTGAATTTCCAAATCTTGTTTTCTTTCATCGGGATGTTTTCTCTTTATGGGAACATGCACAGTCATATAAGAGGGTTGATTTGGAAAAATTGTAGGCACAGCATCGTCTGTAGGTTTTGGACGTGATTTAGTTACAGTTAATATTGTTGGGAAAGAGAATGTAGACAGATCCTGAGTACTTATTATAATTGCTGCTACAAGGCACAGGCACAGAACAATGTCGCGGCATTTTTTATTTCACAAAGTAAAAATAAAGAAACGACAGTTGTTTTACCTAAAAATACACGTCACTTACGTTGGTTTAACACTATACACTAACACTAACGTTATTAATTATGTTTTTATATAAATTCCCCAACTTTTTCCTAGTCCGGACACATAGCCGGCATCGCAGGTGTTACTATAATTTTTACCGAAAGTATGTTTTTTTTCGCGAGTACGATATTATGAATCGGATCTAGATAGTTCACTATCCACTCAAAATTATTTAGTATAATTTTATTAGCATAGAAACGCGTAAAAAACACAGATTTGTTGCGAAACTAATGAAAACAATTGGTTTGTTTACGACTACTAATTCTCGATCACTTCGGTAGAACTGTCAAAACAGTCAGGCCTTGAATATGACGTTAGCCACGATTTAGCTTATAAAACAATAAACTTTTGATTTCTAACCAAAATTTTTCTTGACGGGTGATAATGAAAGGCCAAAATGACATTCCTCGCAAATTTTGAAGCATAATTAGTGGAAAAGTCAAAAGTTTATTAACTTTTTCCAATAATTGAAAATTACCAATAATTATGACGTTCTGAATGCTTTCATTAAAATTAGGTGAACAAACTTCTACGGCTAATTGAAACTACTAATTTATTCCACTGATTTAGAGGTTCTGAATGAAGCTTAAGGGTGGCTGCCATTACTTACTGCTAATTGGTAGTCGCTGTACTAGAGTTCCTGCATATAAAGAGGAACTTACCGCGTTATCAATGACAGGATTAAATTGCCTTTTATTGGCAATTGGATGTTTCGCTGGTCCATGAGCGTGAGCTTAGATATTTCTATTATAATGCTATAGAATAATATTGCAAACTATTTCGCGGGACACTGCATAACGCCAATTAAGCGTTAGATGTAAAATATTCATGACGCGTCTGGCCTCACCTTTAGATGCGGCTACTCTAGTTCGAGTGTTGTTTACTACCACCCCATTGCTCATTACAATGGTAAATGATATAGCTTGAACCTAATATTTATCAAAGGATAACATAAAAATGTATTTATTTTTTCGATCATGAAAAGATCTCTATAGGCGTGATCAAATAAGAGCCCAGCTAATTTGATGTATTTTTTTCCATCTTATTGTAATTTTTTCAAGGTTTAAAAATGTTTTTTTATAAAAAAAACGTCTGTGGCGGATTCATGTCTCAAAAATAAAGTTCTATGGACTCGTCTATGGGTATTTCGCCACTGTAAGAAAATCTACAAAATAAAATAGTTATTTTTTGTAAACACTGCTGCGTTAATCCAAGGGAGACTAATTTGCCAGCAGTGGTTTACTAATAAACAAATTTACCTAACGGACAAAAATATATGCTTAACGTTTCGGGAAGTATATTTCTTCTGGTCCCCATAAAAATTTTCTTTTTTTTTCTGTAGAGGTTAGTAATGTATGGCAATCGCAACATAAGTAAAAATTAAAAATAAATTAAAAAATAATCATACAGAAAGTTTGAGGCTTTTTGGTTTTACCTCTTCAAATAATTGTTATCAGGTAGTAATTATTAATTTTGAAGTTTAACTTGATATAATGTCATTTTAACAGAATGCCAACGGCAGTTTTTAGACGTTTTTTTAGACGTACCCAAAGAATATACTTAGCTAGAAAAATAATAGACTCTGCCATACTGAAAAACGGTCCTACAGAAGTGGCGCCATCTATTGAGTAGGGCTTGTTTTAAATGGATCGAAGCGCGGGCTTTTTAAATGAGCGTATTTATTGAATTCTACTCTAAAATATATAATTAAATTTGATTATTAAATCTTATTTTTTACACAAATTCAACAATACTAATAACAAGTTTCGTTGTGATGTGTAAAAAATAAGATTTAACAGTATAATTTATACAATTATTAAATAAAATTAAAGCCAAACATGTGTAAATATTATTTATTATTTAAAAATTTTAATTATAAGTCAAATATTTAAACATCGTTTATTATAATAAAACAAGACCAACCTAATACGCCCAAAATTTTGTAAATGGAGTAAATATAAATAGGTACTTAAATGATAGCAAAAATAAATGACTTACATTATATTTTTAGGACCACAAACAAAATGAATTGTCTAATAAAAACACATATAACAAATTAGTTTGAAAAACGTTTTGATGGTTTTGATAATTATTTTTGATAATATTATGATTGGCGCTATGACAACGACAATATTTTTTGAGAATTTGACAATAATATGACAATGGCCGTTGGAAACTATGGAAACTATAAAAAAAATCTGATTGAACGCCATCTGGCAATAACTAGTAGCAACTTTTTAACCTAAAAATTAATTGCACTACCACCTAGCGCCCGAGGCTGGAACTATTTTATTTGAAATTTCCGTGGAAACGGTGGAACCGCTTTTGCTATTTCACTTTCCGGCCCCTGGACGTACCTATCTGATTAAAAGGTGCCGGCCTCGTAAAGGTACAGCTCTCGTCTACCAATCTAAAGGTTGTGGGTTCGAATCCTACACCCGGCATTTCATCAGCCGACCATTCTTATTAAATGAGTACTTGGGATTCACATGTACTTAGTTTTTAATTGTTGACATATATATTAGATTGAAATGTTTTGTCTTGCGCAAGTTGTAAAATGTTCGTGTTATAATAGGATTATATTCAATGACTAAATGTTGTAAGTTACAGAATTTTTTATATAGTTTTAATTATTATTTTCTTTTATTCACTAAGTGAGTGAGCTTTGATGAAATGTGCTATAGGGGAAAAATTTATAGTTGTTTTTCCCCTTTCTCCCTTTTTTGTGTAATGATATGAATTAATCTCATCTCTTTATATTTATTATTGTAGTTACTCCTAAAGAAGTTAATAAAAATTAACGAAAAATCGAGTTTTGAAAACAAATTAGTTTAAATTGAATCTACAGACCGCTACACAGTGGGGTATTTGACACAGATAGTTGATCGAAATTTTTTTAAGTAGTCCTTATATAAATTATTGCTATTTTCAATTAAAGAGGAAATAATATGAACAAAACAAAGGATAATTCGTTGATTCTAAAAAAAGAAAAAAAAAATCACTGTTCCAGTGTTTCCACGGTCAATGCCACTAATGCCAGTAGTAATATCGCAACTAATACTACTAATGCTACGACTGATCCGCGAGCAATGCCCATACCACTGAAGTCGCTACTAATGCCGAATTGTGCTATACTGCTAATGGCACTAATGTGATCCCTTTGTACACAATAATGCCATCGCGGTTTACACCTCGCATTAGTATATCACTGATTGGCAAATTAGAGGAAACCAAGAATGTTTTTCTCATTTTATCAGCAAAGTCGCAAAAAGTCGCAGTATTTTATTTTACTGTATGAAAGCCCAATGTTTACTAAGTAAAACGTAACTAAATCTCTAAGTATAATAAAAATGTCACAAATTTAATCAAATTTTCTAAACGCCTAACTTTTAGTTGCAAAAAAATCGTTAGTATAGAGAATTTCAAAATAAATAATACGTTTTTGTAGAATACATACCTGCAGCTTGCTGAGCCATTTTTAATCAAAACAATAATATAAACATAAAAAGAGCACAAGAACAGCAACAATTTATAATTTTAAACATAAAATTTAGCCATTTACCTCTTATCTGTGAGAAGTAACAACTTTGACGTTTCGTTGAAATAAATGATTGCAACAAAACACACCCATAGCAACGCCATTCATGGCAGACATGATTTAACTTATCATTTATCTTTTTTTGGGAAATCTTAAACACATTTGCTTTTTCGAATTTCGATCACCTTTTTCATGCTAATACCCCACCGTGCGCTACCCGATATTGTTCCACATTAAATTTAGAAGTACGGTCGAGATTACCACTATCACATATTTTATTTTGTATATTTTCTTACTGTGGAGAAATACCCATAGGACTTTTTTGTTTTTTTTTATGTTTATAAATT